CTCAGACGCGCCCCAGCGTCGCCTGCTCCGCGCACAGGGGTTGGGTTTCTGTGCTTTGTTCTCTGTGCGGCCTCACCATTGATTAAGGCCCGTCGGGCAGGTTAACCAGCCTGTTGGTTTTTCATGCTGGGATCGTGTTCCCCACCCCACCCTGTCCTGTGCAGGTGGGTCCTGCTGGGCCGGGCAGGCTGGGCACCCTCCAGGTGGGCTGTTTGCTCTCCAGACAGGAGATGCTCTGATTTCTCTATGTCCCCACCCGAGCCTGGTGGGAATGGTGATGGTTAACCAGACCCCGCACCCAGGGGCCACACGCTGGCTTCACTCCTGCCAACAACTGGCTAAGAAAGCACCGTTGGGGGCACTGAGAAACAGGCTACATTTATTTTCACTTTTCATCTCAGCCAGTGAGACTCGCTTGCCTGCCCCAAGCCACACGGCCGCCCAGGCCCTTGACCCACAAGTGAGCTGTGCTGGGGCCCGGCTGGGCCTTGGTCTTTCCTTGTGTATGTACAGGTTCTGGGTTCAGGAGGAGAGTGGGATTCTGTCCTGGGGCTTAAGAGGGAACACTCTGCTGCCCACCAGCCCCAGGTCTCTGCCTCCTAGGGGAGAACATAACAGCCGATACGCTGGCGGGCAGCGGACAGCGGGACTGGCCTGTCCACCTGGCTTGCAGCTGGGCTGGCCGGGGCTTGTGGGGTCTCCCGGGCCCTCGGGGCTCCCCAAGTAGGGCTGGCACGGTGGGCTGGCTACAAGGAGGGATGCTGGGCCCCTGTCCCAACCCTGTAGCCTGGCAGCCAGGAGTGGAGCTGAAACTGAACTCAGCTCTGAAAGTGAAGTCTAAATTGTTTCACTTAGCTCAGAAAAAAGCGAATTGACTTTACGGGTCTGAAGGATGGACACTGAAAGGCGAGGTTGAGCCAGGAGGGGCCAGAGGGGCAAAGGCCTGGATCCCGGCCATGGGCACCACTCTCGGAGCCTGGACGTGGTCACCTGGAGGGTCCGGGCGCCTATGAAGCCCACTCCCCATGCGTGTCCCCCAAGGCCAGGCCTAAGTCAGGTCAGGCCCTGTGAGAAATGTCTCCTGTTCCCGAGCATGAAGCCAGAGAACCGGGTGGACCTGGCTGAGGCCCGGGGCTGGGTGGACGCAGTCTTTGTGGTGGTCAGTCTGGCAGCCTCGGGTCGGGGGGATCAGCACAGGGCCCAGGCCCCTCCCTGCAGCCTCTGCGGGTGGAAGGTGCCAGAAACCTTGAGAAGCTGCCCTGGCCAGCTCTCCAGGCCTGCGCGCCGCCTGCACGGGGACAGTCCCCCAGGGCAGGGGGCCGGGGGTCTGCAGCTCCCTGCAGGGGCCCCCGGTGTGGACCCTGAGAAGGGCAGGGCCCCACCTGTCCTGGGGGTGACTGTGAGATTGGCTTGGCCGCCGCAGGCACCTGGGGGTTATTGCCCTGTATTCTGCCTTTGGGGGCTGCTGTCCCACCTGCTCTGGGGCCGGACCCCAGACCAGTGGGCACACAAGCCACAGTGACCGCCAGGTGCAGTCTGGCCCGGGCTACCCCTCTTGCACCCCTCCTGCAGGCCCAGCACCTCCTCGCCCGCCCCTGGACCTCACAGCCAGCAGCAATCAGAACCCCAGGGCCACACAACAGTGGGGCGCTGGGGACAGGCTGCTCGGTGAGAGGTGGGGGCCCTGGGCCCTGGGAACACCATCCTGCTTGCTGGTCCCAAAGCTCGTCCACGCTCCTGCCAAGGGCGGGAGGGTGGGCACTGGAGACCGTGCTGGGGCTGCACTCGAGAGACAGAGCCTCATACACACTCGTGCTCACCCAGGACCCCGGGGCTGGGCCTGTCCCTGCGTCGGCTCAGCGGGAGGGTCCCGCTCTGCTCCCGCCCCTAGGCCCTGGGCTCCTGTGGGCAGGACACCCTGCCCCCCACAGGCGCCCACCCCATGCCCGGAGCTGGTGGCCCCACTGGGCCGGCCAGGGCTGGCTGGGCAGGGGGTCACCCTGTGGTCCTGGCCTCCAGAGGCTTCTAGGCGCTGCAGCCCCGCCTCCCCCCGGGCTGACCCCACACACATGACGCCTGCCTGGCACTGTGGCCTCAGGGCACACACTTGCTCCAGCCCTGGCCATTCCGGGCCCCTCCCCACCTCAGTGCCCTAAGACGCCGTGGCTCCACCCCAGGCTGCTGGGCGCCCCTCCATCGAGTCCCCTCTTCACCCCAGACGGGCGGCCCCCAGACCCCATTCGGGACGGCCATCGCCATCTTACTGGGCAGCATTGGATGGTGCCTGGTCTCTAATACTGCCTGGTAATGATGACGGTGGGGCCCTGCTCGCAGCGACGGGGCCGCCCTCCCCCAGCCTGGCCCCGGGCCCCGACCTCTCCCACGCAGGCCCCACGCCAGCCACAGCCCCTGACACCCACAGTCAGCTCACCCACCCTGTCCTGTCCCAGTGGCTGCCGGGGGGGGGCTCTAAGGCAGAAAGTTGGCTTCGGGCAGGCCCCGTCCCCAGGCCCGGACGTGTCTGCGCCCCTTCTCAGCCTCCAGAATCAAAGGCTTCCTGCAGCTGCACCGGGTGCCCCGCCCCCAATGATCCGGGATTAGGATGCTCGGGTTCCGGGCCCTGCCCATGGCGCCCAAGCAGGTGCTGCTACCACCCCTGGCAGGTGTGGGCCGAGTGGAGCGGCGACGAAGGCCTGGGCCCGGGTGGGCGGGCCGCTTCACAGGCCAGCAACACCTCCGGCCTCGGTCCCGGGGCCGTGGCCCCAAGTGCCCTTGGCTCTGGGAAAACAGGGAGCAGCACGCAGGCCTCCCTGCCTGCACCTGGGCCCTACCTGTGGGCCGTGGGGCGCCCACGTCCGTCCCGCGTCCTCGGGCCGAGGCACACCTGGGCCTCTGTGGGCATCTTACCGGACAGTGCTGGATTTCTCGGCTCGACTCTAACACTGTCTGGTAACGATGTTCAAAGGTGACCCACCACCTGCCGGGAAGTGGCCCGAGGACACGTGGTCCTGAGCTCCTGGACTCCAGAGCTGGGCCGAGCCCCGGGCCAGCTGGGGGACGGGCAGACGGCCTGTCTCAGCTCTGCAGCCCGGCCCAACCAGGGAGGCCTCTGCCGACCGCTGCAGGGCCGGTTCTGCCACATCGGGGCCCTCGGTGCTCCCCAAGGGACTCGGGAGGCTAGGGCCTGAGAAGGGCCGCCAGCCTGCAGGCAGGCTCCTGTGCATCCGCCGTGGCTGGGCCTGGGTTCTCCCCACGGAGTGGCCGGCGGCCTGTCAGCAGCCACACAGAGAAACGCGCCTCTGGCTGGAACAGGGCTGGCAGCAGGCAGCCCCCACTTTCCCTTCCCGGGCCCTCCCGTCCACCACACAGGGTCAGATGTCCACTACGGCTGTCCAGGGCACCCCAGCTCACCGCTGGAAGGCGGCCTGCCCTTAGAGGTCCCAGTCAGCTGGGGCCGTGGGCGGTCACCCCTCTTACTCCTTCGGTCCACTGGGGACGTGGTGGGGGACAAGGGTGTGTCCGGGTGCCTGGAGCAGTGGACGTTCTGTGCTGCACTCCCCACCCCCAGCCCCCGCAGTGTCGTAGGCGAGATTGGGAACATTGTCCCAAACCATCAAGGCCGGGATGGTCTTTTGTTTTATCTTTTTGATCTGAAGCCAGGACACCAGCCCCCAGACCTGCCGGCATAGGCACAGGGGTGACCCTTCTGCCCTGGGCCCCAGTGGCTCTCCCACAGGAGGAGGCTCTGCCCCTGGCCCAGCTGTTACTCATTAACCGGCCGAGGGCCGTTCCGAAAGCTGCGAGGGCGCCGCAGCCACCTTGACCCGGGACCGAGAGCAGGGACACCAGGCTGCTCCCCAGCTGCGCCCACAAACACGTGTTTGGGCTGCTGCCCAGACGGGGTCTGCAGGAAAGCCCTCCTTGGAGCAGCCCTGGGCCAGGCCACCAGGGCTCTGGGGCCGCTCCACGGACTAGGAAGCTCTGGGGGTCCTGCCACTGAGCCCTCCCACTTCCTCACGGTGTGGCGGGACAGGTGGTAGGGGAAGCCCCAGGCGGCTCTGGGGGTCCTGCCGCTGAGCCCTCCCACTTCCTCACGGTGCGGCAGGACAGGTGGTAGGGGAAGCCCCAGGCGGCTCTGGGGGTCCTGCCGCTGAGCCCTCCCACTTCCTCACAGTGCGGCGGGACAGGTGGTAGGGGAAGCCCCAGGCGGCTCTGGGGGTCCTGCCGCCGAGCCCTCCCACTTCCTCACGGTGCGGTGAGACAGGTGGTAGGGGAAGCCCCAGGCCCTCCCAGAAGGGCCGCCGATGAGCCTGCCTGCACCAAAGCCTGCCGATGGGTGTCTTACCAGACACGGTTAGATCTGCTCCTTCTGTCTAATACTGTCTGGTAATGCCGTCCATCCATGGCCTGATCGCCACCGGCGGAGGGGCTGCTCACCGGATGCCTGGTGGAGGGGAGGCCGGGGTCCGTGGGTCCCAGCAGTGGGCCTGAGCCGGCTGTACACTCCTGCCCAGGCGCAAGCCCTCGTGTGCCCCCAGGGCACAGGCCACGCCTGACCACCCACAGCCCCCGTGTCCCTGACTGGGGGAGCCCTGTGACGCCCCACAGGGGATTTCTGTCGCAGACACAACAGGCTGTTGGTGTTATAGTGGGGGGGCTCCACGGGCGGTGGGCCCCACGCTGAAGGCTGGCGAGCAGTTGGTGCAGCCCCCGTGCTGCTGGCACTGCCACTGGGCCGCAGGCAGCCGCATCCCTGGAGCCCCCAGGAGCCTCTCCAGGAAGGTACCCTCATCCCTTGCCACCCCACACCCACACCAGGCAGGGGCGGCGGGTAAGGGGGACAGGACAGAAGCAGCCCTGGCCCCAAACCCCCAGCCCAGGCCGTGGAAGGGTGCCCATGGCTGGCAGTGCCCAAGAGACGCCCCAGGATGCCCTCTCCCCAACCCCAGGTGGCACCAGAACCCTGGAGGGTGCTAGGTGTGGAGACCCCACAGGTGAGACCCCTCTTCTTCCTTCCCCTGGGTCCCCACAGGCGCGACTCGGGACCTGGGCGGTCGGGGGACTCTCCAGGTGCCGGGCCAGGCTGTCACCCATGCACGCTGGGCAGAAGGCCTGGCAGCCCCTGCCCGCTCCCTTCTACCCACAGAGGCTCAGCAAGACGTCCTCTGTCTACAGCTGCCTCCCAAACCAAACTTCCGGATGCCGGTCCCACCCCTGGCCTCGTGGGACCAGCCCCTTCTTCCCCTGAGAATTCCAAGGAGGTCCTAGGGTCCCAACCCACGGCTTCGCAAAGGCCTGTCTGATGCCTCCGACCCAGGGCTCCGCAGCCACAGCCAGGGCGGAGGGGACCGTCCCTCCTCCCTCCTCCCCGCCTTCCCTCCGTCCTCAGCACCCACTCTTTCCTGAGCGCCCTCTGGGAGCCGGTGCAGTTCTAGACACTGGGGGTTGGGGGGGGGATGTCCCTGAGAGGGGGGTCACAGGCAGCAAGGAGGCTCCGCGCAGGACGAGTCAGCTGCAGGGGCTGCCGGTGCTGCAGAAGCCAGGGCAGTAGAGGTGGCAGCAGGGTGGGGGTGGGGTAAGGGTGGCCCAGAAAGGTCTCTCTGAGCAGGTGGCCAAGCGGGAACCATGCAGGAGCCCAGCAGAGGGGCCCAGAGGCCGCACGGGGGCCGGTGAGGAGAGCTTCCTGTTCCAGCCCTGGCAAAGGCACCAACTCCCCGTGGGGAGCCAGGGCCTGAGCTGCCTGGGAGACCCGCACCACAGCTGCAGGAGGGGTGCTGGGCCTTTACCCAGCGGGGCTGGACCGCCCCGTCTGCCTCCAGGCACTGGGGCCAAGCCCAGCCAAGCCCGGTGGCACCCGGGGAGAGGCATCCGCCCTGCGGGGCGGCCGGTTAATGATTGGCTGCCTTGTTCGGGGTTGTAGATGCCACCGATGGCCCAGTCCCAGGCCGTCGCGGGAAGGGCTGCCCCGGGCTGGCGCCCACACCAGTGTTTCGGGTTATACGGCAGCTTTTGAGTTTGAGCTCTCGCTGTCACCACGTGGGCAGGGAGCCGCCTCCCCAGAACCCACGGGGAGTCATAGGGCAGCAGGGTGGTGGGCTGGCCCAGCTCCTAGGGGTCTGGGCCTCTAGAAGGGATGGGGAGTGGGGCATGGGCTCCGGGGGAGGACGACCTGGGGGTTCTGAAACTGTGCTCAGGCCAAGGGGAAGACAAGTGGCCTGCAGGTGACCAGGGGATCCACTGCCCGCCCCCGGGTGCTGCACCCAGCAGGCCCAGGCAGGGGGCCACCAGCTCCCGAGGTCAGGCTGCCTGCCCCTCAGTCCAGGACTTGGGTGGAGGAGCTCTCCGCCCCTCCAGAGTAACCGACAGCTACCCTTGGGCAAAGGGGTGTCAGACCACAGTGCAGCAGAACGGAGCCCTGCAGGCCCCCAACACCTGGTGCAGGCAGGCACACAGGTGGGAGTGCGTCAGCCTCTGAGTGGGGTCAGGGAGGCCTCCCCACAGTGGGGAATGCCACCCGGGACCCTTAAAGTGAGGGGGCGCTTAAGGGGTGCATTAATTTTCTGGGGCAGCCACAGCAAATTACACAAACTCGGTGGCTTGAAACAACGGAAATGTATTCTCTCACGGTTCTGGAGGCCACCTGCTCCCTCCGGAGGCTCTGGGGCGGGTCCTTCCTGCCTCTCTCAGCCTCTGGGGCTCCAGGCGTCCGGGAGCTTGTGGCCGCATCCCTCCGGCCGCTGCCGCATCTTCAGTTGGCTTCTCCCCTCTGTGTCTCCTCCGCTCTCCCTCCCTCTCCCGAGGCCACTGGTCGCTGGATTTAGGGCCCATCAGATAATCACATCTGCAAAGACGATTTTTCCAAGTAAGGTCACACGGCACTTTCTGGGCCTTAGGACGTGGACACACATGGCACGGGGACCACCATCCACCCTACAAGAAGCAAGTGAAGGCTCCCTAAGGAGAGACACCCTGGTGACCCATGCAAGGCTCTGGAGGACAGAGGCAGGGGGCCATGCAGGGCAGCCAGCGGCCCTCCCACACGCCCTGGCCTCCCAGACCTGGGCGTGAGCTCCTCTCAGCCCCTTGCGGAGGCACGGGTTTGCTGAGCGCCCACTTTCTGTTCTGTAAAGAGGCCGTGGTAAGGGGAGATGAAATAACACAGGTAAAGCACACTGAGCACACAAACATAATGGGTCAGGCCTGGGGGGCTGGCACAGATCTGGGGATCCTGAGAAGGCTCGGGAATGTCCCGGGAGGACGGAGGACCCAGGTGGGGACGGTGCCCATGCCACCCCTCCTCCAGCCTTGGCCGCTGCCCCTGGTGCCCGGCCTCCTGCCCTTCCCCACCCACCTGCTCCCCTCAGGGCCACTGGGTCATGGTTGCTAGGAGACAGTTGCCTGGTCACCACTGTTGTTTCCCTGGCACAGGGCTCACACCACCTTGTCGGGCAGGCAAGAGGGGCAAGCGGGCCACCAGCGGGGGTCCTGGCTGGCCCTGAGGGCTGGGGCCTACCGTCCCTTGCCCCGCCCAGCCCCCTGGCCCCAGGAGCCCTGTGGGTCCTCTCGGGACTCTGCCCAGGAGTGTGAGGGAGGCGAGCGAGGGGAGCGGACGGGTGCCTGGCTGGGCAGAGACCCCCAGGCCAGGCTGAGCAGGGCAGGCCTCCGGGCGTGGCGGCCCCTCAGGACCAGCTCCTTTGCTCAGGACCAGGTCTGTCTCCCAGGACCGACCCCCAGAAGGGACGGCCTCCTAAAGTCTGCGGGGACCCACGTCCCCCCAGACAGCTCAGCCCTGGCCAGAAGGCACCAGCCTGACGAGCAACGAGAGCACCTCCTGAGCCCCGCGTCCCCAGACGTGTATTTGGAGGACGGACCTGGCAGGACACGGGTGTCACCTCGTTTTCCTGGATGTTTCCTTCAGGTTCACGAGGGTCTTCCATTCATCACACCGGAGCGCCATTTCCCGCCAGACTTTTTACCTGACCAGGTAAAAAGTTTATTTAAAAATTCGTTATAAAGTTGTTTCCACCGACCCCTCCCTGCAGTCCTCGCGGAGGGCCTGGTGCCGTCACCCCCCCACCCCCGGGCAGGGCCACTGCAACCCGAGCTTCACCACCATTGATAACGGTTCGGGAACACCTTTCAGCACAAAGCTTGCTATTTAGAATTAGTCCGTCAGAGAGACTCTGAGAAAGGCAATTGCTCGGCAAAGGCTCTGACCCCTGACCCCGCCCGCAGCCCCGCAGGCCACCATGTCCTGCAGCCCGGGGCACCCGCACCGCGTCCACCACACGCGTGCACGCCCAGAGTAAGGATTCTTTTTCTTAATTTCTGTTAACTTGAATGACAAGAAATAGTCATTCATGGCCTGTTTAATTCTTCGTGGAAGAAATAAGATATCAGAGTTAAGACAGGCAAACAGAGGCACAGGCTTACAAAGCTTGCTCTGAAATCCGGCAACTCCGTGCCCACCTCCCGGCTCCCGTTTCCGGGAGCGCTCGCTGCTGGGTCCGGGTTACCCCGCAGAAGTTACCCTTTGCTGGGCTGTGGGGGCCGGGGCTCCCTCCCACCCCCCACATTCATGCTGTAACCCCCAGTAACGCTCCTTGCAGGCAGGTCACTGCCCTGCTCGGCACCGGCCTGGCCCTCTCCGGCCTCACCGTCGTCACACAGGCCCTCCTCCAACATGGGTGACCAGGCAGCTGTGTGCATGTGTCACACAGGCCACTGGTACTCCCAGCCCACTCTGCAGGTGGGGAAACCGAGGCACAGAGCTGATCCACACCACAGCCCCAGCTTCCTTTCCCAGGTCCGGCTCAACTGGGGAATTCCCTGAGGGGGGTCTGAAGACCTCCCACCACGCTGGGCGGCTCACAGGAGCCTTGCCTCCGGCTCTGAGGTGTCTCCGGCTCCGCTGGGTGCCTTTCCTTCTTTACATTCTCCTTTCCAGCACACTTCCTCGCCTTGAGCTTCTCACGAGGCTGTGCTGCGTATTTCCATGAGCTCGTCCACCTTGTCTGTCCCTTTGTTCTAACCGTCCAGTCCTGCCCCAGCGTATTCCCAGGGCTGCGTCCCCTGCCTCGGGCTCCGCCACCACCCCCACCGCCCGGCCTCTCCTCGCAGGGCCCTGTTTCTCTGTCTCTGGGCGTCAACCTGTCGCTCACACCTGGGGGCCTCCATCAGATGTCTGTTGACTCAGTGGCCGCTCACGTGGGAGTGCTGGGGCAGAGTACTGACCGTCATCCTCCTTGGGGGCCCCCATCCCCAGCAAGGTGCGGGTCTCCCAGGCAACGCGGAGACCCACGCGCACACGCACGTGCGCACCCTCCCCGTGCTCAGCAGGCTCCTATCCACCCCCGCCCCCCCGCAGTCATGCTGGGCGGGGTCCAGCCGCCACAGAGGAGCCCTCCCGTTCTGGGTGGGGCAGGGCTGGGGAGGAGACGCTTGGCAGGGGGGTGAGAGCCTCCCCGCGCCCCGCCCCGCACCCAGGCCCTGTAACCACGTTGACAGCTGTTCCCAGTTTACCCTCTTCTGTCCTAAGTGGGGACAAAGGTCTTGGCCAGCACCTCCTGGGTGGCCGGCTGGTTTGTTTGCAAAGCGACTGTCCTCTTTGGAGGGCAAGCTGCCAGCCCCTGGTATGCAAATGCAGGAGCCCCTCTCTGCCTGCCAGCTCCCAGGGTACTGGCCTTTCCACTGCTTGTGTTTCTTCAATCTTTCGGAAAATCCTAGCCTCCCAAGCAGCCCCCAAACTGGGAAGGACCTGTCAAGGAATGGCTAAAACTCCCTAAAATGTTCCCGAGTTAGCCACACAGGAAAGGAGCCCTAGGGAGGCATCATCCTCAGGGCGGGGCCTCCTCATGGCCCTGTCCTGACTCTGGGAGGGGACTGCTCAGGGCTGCCGCCCCCCAACCCCGCAGGCCTGACAGCAGCCCTCCTAACAGCCGGCAGGGAGGCCAAGCGCAGAGATGCCGACACCAGATGGACAGTCCCTGCAGGCCCCACAGTCACCACAGAGACGGGAGCCACCCACAAGAGGAAGCCCAAATCCAGGACGCTGGGCAGCACCCCTCCCCGGGCAGGGCGGGCCTGACTGCGTGCCCAGTTCAAGGGCTAGGACCACGGGCCGCCCAAAGGGCCCGCAGAGGGGTGGGGGCCACGTCTTCCCAGAGGTGCCCCCTCACCAGTGCCCCAGCGCCTGCGGCCCGCAGCCGCACCCACTTCCTCCACTGCCAGGGACCACCTCCTCGGACCCAGGTTGGCACAAAGAGAGGCAAGCGGTCAAGGATGGCAGGGGTCCGGCGGAGCCGCCGCTGGGCACCAGGTGTATGCAGCCAGGGCCTCCCCAGGGACAGGCACCCCATCCCCAGGAAGGCCTTCTCACGGGGGGACCACACAGCCATGCCCGGGGAGAGGGGCCAGCAGGAGGCCATGTGCTGGGTGTGGGATCTGGGCCAGCCGAGTAGGGCAGAGGACAGCAGAGTCGGGGTCTGAACAGGCGGAGAGGGGTCTCCCTTGACTGCTGTAGGCCACCCATGACGTCATGATGGACATTGTGACCCCCGCCCTCTGGGCACGTCCCTGCGTCACATCTGCCCCTAGCTCCAGCCTCACACCTCAGCCTCTGCCCCACACAAAGCCCCTGCCGTTGGTAAGGAGGGACCCTGCCCCCTTTCTCCTAGGAGGCCCTCTGATTGGGCCTGAGGCTGGGCTGAGATGGGCCGAGACGGCTGGGGGGACTGCACAGGGGTTCCAGTCAGATTCTGAGTGGACGCCCCCTGTCTGACCCCACCTTGTTCACAGGCTGGGCCCATGAGAGATCAATGGGGAGCCACCGAGAGGAGGGGCTCCTACGTCAGCTAAGCCAGCTGGACCAAGACGCAGATGGGCTCAGGCAGGGCCCAGGGAGGGGCAGAAAAGCCACCAGCTGGGCCAGAGCCTCTGACCACCCACTCTGCCCGCAGAGCTGGACGATGCTGACACTGCCAGGCCCCGGGCCGCCCTCCTGGAGAAGCACCCGCTGGAGGGGGAGAAGCAGCGGCCCGGCACCGGGCAGGGCCCCTTCTTCTACATCGGAGGCACCAACGGGGCCGCAATGTGAGTGGGGCCTCAGGCTGGGTCCAGCCCCACCGCCTGCAGGCCCCGGCCCAGCCTCGCTCCGCGGCCCACAACCCCGCGGCCCCCAGGTCACCGCCGCCCCTCGCCCCTGCAGAATCAGCTCCTATTGCAAAAGCAAGGGCTGGCAGCGCATCCAGGACAGCCGGCGGGAAGACTACAAGCTCAAGTGGTGCGAGGTCAAGTGCAGGGACACCTACTGCAGCTTCCGGGAAGGTAGGGGCGGGGCCAGGCTCAGCGGGCGGCCCTCCACGCGCGCATGCGCGGTCGCACGCTGCCCGGGCTCTGTCGCGCCAGGTGAGCAGCTGCTGTACCAGCTCCCCAACAGCCAGCTCCTTACCACCAAGATCGGGCTTCTCAGCGCCCTGAGGGAGCACGCGCGTGTCCTCAGCAAGACCAGCAAGCTGGCCCCCTGCGCACAGGCCAAGTGAGGATGCCCTGGCCCCCCACCCCGGCGGCGCACCCCGCACCCGACGCGTCAATCGCTGCTCCTGACCGCCCTCCACCAAGTCGGTCCGCCTACCCGCCTTCCCACTGACCCAGCCGCGTACCACCCATCTGTCTCCACCCCCAATACCGGCCACCATTCCAGCCACCCAGCCCACGGCCCCCCAGCGGTCCTCACACGCTCACCACAGAGCCGCCCACTGGTGTCCTGCATTCAGTCACCACTGCCTACCACACCCACTGCCGTCCACTGCACACCCATTCCTGCCCCTTGGCCCTCCCCTCCCCCCGGAGCCGTGCCCGACCCACTCGATGTGCCCACTCCTCTTCCACTCACTTGCCCGGCCATTCACACGTCTGCCCGCCCATCCAAACAGCCACCTACCATCTGCCTCCCTCGTCCACCCCCCACCAGGCAGGCAGCCACCCACCCACTACCTGGTCATCCACGACACCACCCAATTCTGTCAGCAGTTCTGGTCCAACCCCCTCCAGGCATCCGTCTACCCACCAGACCACTTGCCCATCCACCTACTTCCATCCAAAATCCACTTATCCACACACCACCAGTCTACCGCCAAGCCCCCACCCACTCCCCACCTCTCGACGCCCCCATCCATTCTCCACACACTGAGCAGCCACTCAGGCCAGGTCCTGTGTCCTCCTGGGGTACAGATCTGGAAAGGACACGACACCCGCCCCAGAAGAGCTCATGTGGAGCAGCTCAGGACACCTTGGGCCACAGAGGTAGATTCCCCCAGCCATTCTGCCCTCAACTGAAGGATGGCCTGGTGCTCGGTGAAAGGGGTTACAGGGCATCCCAGGACAGGGGATCCATGCTGACCGCTCATTGCATGCTGGGCACTGTCCTGGCCTGGAGACCCAGCTCTGAACTGACCACTCCCGAAGGCCCGAGAGCAGCAGGGGGAAGAGCAGGGAGGTGGGAGGGGTTGGGAGGTGGGTGAGGCAGCCGGCAGAGAAGCCAGGTGTGCAGAGCCGGAAAAGCGTGCTCCTGGTCAGGGAACAGAAGGTGCAAAGGTTCTGCAGAGGAAAGAGCTGGGGGCCGGGGGTGGGGGTGTGTTTCAGAGGAAACCAAAGAGGGCAGGAGTGCCTGGAGCCCAGCGCAGCTTCCTAGCAGACACTCTCCCTCCAGCCTACCCCAGGTCAGACCCCCAGAATGGCTGACCAAGCTGGGGGAGGGGGACAACCCTCCCAGTGTCTTCCCCACCTCCCTGCTTCCCCAGCGTCCTGAAAATGGAAGACTTTTTCCCAGAGACCTACCGTCTGGACATCAGGGACGAGAGAGAGGCTTTCTTTACCCTCTTTGATGGTGAGAGGCCCCTGGACGCCAGGCCCGCTCTGGGGAGACCGGTGCAGGGCTGGACCAAGGTGGGAGCGAGATTAGGGCGGGGCCAAGGCCCTGGCGAGGCCGAGGTGGGGCGTGGTCAGGGAGTGGAAGGGTGGAGCCAGGGTGGGTGAGGTCAGGGCTGGTGCTGAGTAGATGCTGGGTGGGGCGGGGGGTCATGGCCGGACCTTAGTGGAGGCCAAAGCCTGCAGGGGCGGGGCCGTGGCTGGGAGCGGTCAGGGCGGGGCGGGGCGGGGCGGGGCTGGGGCCAAGGCGGGGCGAGGCAGGGATGGGCGGGGCGAGGCAGGCTCCCTGGCTCGGGTAGCTCTCTCCGCAGAAACCCAGATGTGGATCTGCAAGCCCACCGCCTCCAACCAGGGCAAAGGCATCTTTCTGCTCCGGAACCAGGAGGAAGTCGCCGCCCTCCAAGCCAAGACCCAGAGCATCGAGGACGACCCCATCTACCGCAAGATGCCCTTCCGGGCGCCTCAGGCGCGGGTCGTGCAGAGGTTTTGCGCGTGGGCACCCCGAGGGGCGTTGGCCAGGTGGGGCTGACCCAGGCCCGCTGGTGCCTGTGAGGCTCGTGGGCGTCGCGGGGCCCACAGAGGAGTCCTTGGCGGTGGAAGGCTGCGGTGCCCCCAGCTGGGCCCCTGTGTAGCCAGAAGAGGTGGGGTTTTCACATCCAGTCAGGATCTCAGAGGATATACCCTCCCCCCCCCAAACACAGGAGGCTCCTGGATGGTGTGGTGCAGGGAGGGCTTGGTCAGCTTGTGCCCCAGCCTGGGTCCTGCACCCTCTGACCTGCAGGGAGCCCGGCTTCTCCCCCATCCCCCACGCATCCAGCTGCAGCCTTCAGGCCCACAGGCAGAGCCGACCACCCCGCCTTGCTCCCTCTGCCTCTGGGAGGGGTCCAGACCCTCAGCCTCACACCAGGGGGCACAGTCGAGCCTGAGAAAGGTCCCTTCGGACTTGCCTATCTGCCAGTGTGGACCTCACTCCTGCCGCAACTGCTGTCTGCCACCCCAAGCAGCTGCTCCCAGCCGCTGGGTCTCTAGACCTACAGCTCTCTCCACTGGGATGTCCCCTCCCTGCCTCTCCAAAGCCACCTGCCCTTCAAGGCCCAAGGTCACCCCTCCCTCCTTCTCCAGGCAGTCTTCCCAGCCCATAGGGCCCAGTCTGCTTCTGCCTCCCAGGCTTCTAGCGAGGGCTGCGCCCTGGGGTGCCCCAGACACACACCAGTGGGCTGAGCTCTAGGGGCCAGGCCCTCCTTCCCAATTCCCTGATGTGTTCAGGCTCGGAAATGTCCCCTAACCAGTGGACACTGCGCCCAGCCAGGGTAGGGGACCCACAGCTCACACCTGAGACAGGTAGCAGGGGTGCTGAGGAACTGGCAGGCCCAGGTGGGGGCACGGGCCAGACTAGCCACGCCTCCCCAGGTACATCCAGAACCCGCTGCTGCTGGATGGGAAGAAGTTCGACGTGCGCTCCTACCTGCTCATCGCCTGCACCATGCCCTACATGGTGTTCTTCGGCCACGGCTACGCTCGCCTCACCCTCGGCCTTTATGACCCCCAATCCAGCGACCTCTGTGGCCATTTAACCAACCAGGTAAATGCCCCACACAGGTGAGGGCCCTCCCTGCAGCCTTGGACAAAAATCACTGCTCAAGAATGGGAAAAGAATCCAACTGTAGACATGGCCCAAACCCCGAGGTGGCCTGGGCTGCCCCTGCCTGCAGCCAGCACTGCCTCTCACCTTCAGCCTCCGCTGGGCATCCTGGTGAACAGACTGAGAGCCGTGGCCCCGACCCCCAGCTCAGCTCCCTCTGGGTGTGGGTCAGGCCCAGCAGGGGTGGGGGCCAAGGGCAAGGGCCTCCGTGAGGACCTCAGTTCAGGGATGCTGTGGGCAGAGGTCTCTGTGGAAGGGTCTCAAAGGGAGGTGTCTGGGCAGTGGCCCCCCAGGAGGATCTGGGGGTACTTCTCAGGGGCAGGAGGTGCTGGGGCAGGGGCTCGGTGTCCCGAAGGAGCGGGACCCCTGTGGGGTCTCTGGTGGCCGCGTCGGGGTGAGGCTCTTGTCAGGGCCCCCCGTGGGGGCCGGGCCTCCAGGCGATGCCCTGCCTCCCAGTTCATGCAGAAGAAGAGCCCCCTGTACCTGCTGCTCAAGGACGACACGGTGTGGAGCATGGAGCACCTCAACCGCCACATCAACGACAAGTTCCGCAAGGCCAAGCGCCTCCCCCGGGACTGGGTCTTCACCACCTTCGCGGTGCGTGCGCGCCCCGCCCACACGGCGTTGGGAGGGGCCAGGGGTCGGGACCGTCAGTCCCTGGGTGGGGCTGCCGTTGGGCGTGCGCGCAGCGGTGGGTTCCAGGGACCCTCTCCTCTCCGTTTCTGAAACAGATCATTCACACGACACAAAAGTCACTCTGTGAAAGTACAGCTCAGTGGTTTTTGGTGGATTCTCAGAGTTGCAGGATGGTCACCACTCTAATTCCAGAACACAGTCACCTCCGCAGAAAGAAACTCGGTACCCACTGCCCTTCCCAGCCCCTGGCAACTGCTAATCCACTTCCCGTCCCCATGCATTTCCCTGTTCTGGACATTTCATGTCAATGGAATCACATGATATGTGGGTTTTCCTGGCTTCTTTCACTGAGCATAACATTTTCAAGATTCCCTTCGTTTCTTTTTATGACTGAAAACTATTTCATTGTATAAATGGACCACGATTTATTTGGATAAACATTCGTCAGTTGATAGACGTTTGGGTTGTTTTTACTTTTTGTCTATTATGAGTAATGCTGCTATGAATATTCATGAACAGATGTTTTCAGTTCTCTTGGGTATAGGTCTAGGAAGGGAACTGCATGGTCGTAGGGTAACTCATGTTGAACTTTTTGAGGAACTGCCAAACCATTTTCCACAGTGGCTACAAGGTTTCCCATTCCCACCAGCAATGTATGATGGTTCCAATTTCTCTATATCCTTGCCAACACTTGGTATTTTTCTTTTTTTGTTTAATAGTCATCCAGTGGGTGTAAAGTGGTATCTCATTGTGGAGTTGATTTGCATTTCCTAATGATAATGATATTGAGCATCTTTTTACGTATTTGTCGGCCATTTTTGTATCTTCTTTAGAAAAACTTCTGTTTAGATCCTTTGTTCACTCTTCCTTCTTAGGCTGTAGAGCTCTTTATATATTCTGAATGCTAGACCCTTACCAGATGTGTGATTTGCAAATATTTTCTCCCATTCTGTGATTTCTCTTTTCACTTTCTTGATAATGTCCTTTGTTTGTTTTGTTTTGTTTTGTTTTGGCCGGGCCCCTCGGCTTGAGGGGTCTTAGTTCCCCGACCAGGGATTGAACCCCCTGCAATGGAAGTGCAGAGTCCTAACCACTGGACTGCCAGGGAATTCCCCATAATGTCCTTTTTTGCATAGATTTTTATGAAGTCCAATTTATCGATTTTTTTCTTTGGTTATTCATGCTTTGATGTCATATCTAAGAATCCATTGCCATTTCCAAGGTTGTAAAGATTTACATCTATGTTTTCTTCTAAAAGTTTTATAGTTTTAGCTCGTTTTGAGTTAGTTATTGTGTAATGGTGGGAGGTAAGGGTCCAACTTCAGCTTTTTGCATGTGGCTCTCCTGTTGTCCCAGGACCATTTGTCAGAGAGACTGTTCTTGGCGCACTTTTGAAAATCAATTGACCAGATATGTATGTGTTTCTCCCTGGACTCTCAATTCTATTTCATTGGTGTGTATGTCTATCCTTAAGCCAGCGCCACGCCGTTTCGGTTGCTGCAGCTTCATTCTCTTAATGTGCTGTATTACAGAAATTGATTATCAGGTGTTGAATCACCCTTGCATTTCCGGGATAAATCTCACGCAGGTGTAGCATATTGTCCTTTAAATATGCTGCTGGACTGGGTTTTAGTACTTCACTGAGGATTTATGTGTCTACCCTCATAAGTAATGTGGTCCACAGCATTATTTGCTTGTATGTCTGTCTGATTTTGGACATGTTCCCTTCTCTTCTATTTTTGGAGAGTGTGTGAAGAGTTAGTGTTAATTCTTTAAATATATTTGGAAGGATTCACCAGTGAGGCTACCTTATTGTGGACTTTTCCTTTGTGGGAAGAATTGTTATTTTTTTAATTATTACTAACTCAACCTTTATTTGTTAGAGGTTATTCAGATTATCTATTCCTTCCTGGGTCAGACTTATTAGTTTGTCTTTCTAAGAATTTCTCCACTTCTCCTAAGTTGTCTAATTTGTTTCGAATGCAGGTACTCATGGTATTTTATGAACAATTGTAATCGTTTTCATAATCCTTTTCATCTCTGTAAGTCTTTCTTTCTTGATTTTAGTAATTTGAGTCTTTTCTCCCCTTTATCTTGTTCAATTTAGCTAAAGGTTTGTCAGTTTTGTTGATCTTTTCAAAGAGCCAGCTTTTGGTTTCATTGATTTTCTCTGTTGCTTTCTATTCTCTAGTCCATTAATATCCACTCTAATCTTTATTATTTCCCTCCTTCTTGCTTTGGGTTTAGTTTTGTTTTGGTGTGGTTTGGGTTTTTTGTTCGTTTTTTGTTTTTGTTTGTTTGTTTGTTTTTCTTCTAGTTTCTTAAGGTTGAAGTTTGGGTTATTGATTTGATTTGAGATCTTTCTTCCTGTTTAATGTAGGTGTTTACAGCCATAAATTTCCCTGTGAGCACTGCTTTCACTGCATCCCATAAGATTTTGTGTGTTCTGTTTTCATTTGTTGCTTGTGTGTTAATTTCCACATATTTGTGAATGTTCTAATTTTCTTTCTCTTATTGATTTCTAATTTCATTCCATTGTGGTCAGAAAACATACTTTGTATGATTTCAACCCTTTAAAAAGTATTGGGGGCTTCCCTGGTGGCGCAGTGGTTGAGAGTCCGCCTGCCGATGCAGGGGACACAGGTTCGTGTCCTAGTCCGGGAGGATCCCGCATGCCGCGGAGCGGCTGGGCCCATGAGCCATGGCCGCTGAGCCTGCGCGTCCGGAGCCTGTGCTCCGCAGCGGGAGAGGCCACAGCGGTGAGAGGCCCGCGAACCGCAAAAAAAAACAAAAAGTATTGAAACTTGTTTTATGCTCTAACACATGGTCTATCCTGAAAAATGTTCCACACACACTTGAAAAGAATGTATATTCTACTGTTGGGTGGAGTGTTCGACAGATGTCTTTTAGGTCTAGTTGGTTTATAGTGTTGTTCAAGTCTTCTATTTACTTGTTGATCTTCTGTCTAGTTGTTCTATCATTGAAAATGGGATACTGAAGTCTCCCACTATTATTACTGAATTGTCTATTTCTCCTTTCAATTCTGTCAGTTTTTGCTTCATGCATTTTTAGGCTCTGTTGTTAAGTATATGTATGTTTATGATTATTACATATTCTTGACTTATTAGGAAATGTCCTCTTTTTTCTTAATGTCCTCAATTTTTGCCTTAAACTCTATTTTATCTGCTATCAGTATAGATATTCTAGCTCTCTTTTGGTTACTGTTTGCCTGATATATATATTTTTTTAATTTTATTTATTTATTTATTTTTGGCTGTGTTTGGTCTTGGTCGCTGCGCACGGGCTTTCTCTAGTTGCGGCGAGCGGGGGCTACTCTTCGTTGCCGTGCACAGGCTTCTCATTGCAGTGGCTTCTCTTGTTGCAGAGCATGGGCTCTAGGCACGTGGGCTTCGGTAGTCATGGCATGCAGGCTCAGTAGTTGTGGCTCAGGGGCTCTAGAGCTCAGGCTCAGTAGTTGTGGTGCATAAGTTTAGTTGCTCCGCGGCTTGTGAGATCTTGCCAGACCAGGGCTTGAGCCTGTGTCCCCTGCATTAGCAGGCAGATTCTTAACCACTGCGCCACCAGGGAAGCCCTGATATATCTTTTTTTTATCCTTTTACTTTCAACCTATCTGTGTCTTTGAATCTCAAGTGAGTCTCATAGATAGTGTATGGGGGGGAGGGGAATGCATCCTGACAATCTCTTTTAATTGGAAAGCTTACTCCATTTATATTTAATATAATTACTGATAAGTTAGGATTTACATCTTCTATTTTGCTATTTCTTTTTTTTTGAATTTTATGTATTTTTTTATACAGCAGGTTCTTATTAGTTATCCATTTTATACATATTAGTGTATACATGTCAATCCCAATCTCCCAATTCATCACACCACCACCACCCGTGCCACTTTCTCCCCTTGGTGTCCATACGTTTGTTCTCTACATCTGTGTCTTTATTTCTGCCCTGCAAACCGGTTCATCTGTACCATTTTTCTAGGTGCCACATATATGCGTTAATATACAATATTTATTTTTCTCTTTCTGACTTACTTCACTCTGTATGACACACTGTAGGTCCATCCACCTCACTACAAATAACTCAATTTCATGTCTTTTTACGGCTGAGTAATATTCCATTGTATATATGTGCCACATCTTCTTTATCCGTTCATCTGTTGATGGACATTTCCATGGTTTTTAATGAGAACTGGTTGTTGGTCTTATCGAGGAGCCTTTATGATGAGTCGCTTCTCTGTGCTGATTTCAACATCGTCTGTTTGTCTTTGGAAAGTTTGCTTATGCTGGGGTGGATCTTTTTGAGTTTATCCTCCTTGCAGCTCACTGGCCTTCCTGAACGTGTAGATTACTTTTCATCAAATTTGAGAAGTCCCACTGCCATTATTTCTTTAGATATTCTTCCTGACTCTTCCTCTGCCCTCTTTCTGGATCTCCTTATGCATTTTGGTCTGCTTGACGGTGTCCCACGGGTCTCTGTAGCTTTATTTTTCTTCATTCCTTTGACTTTCTGTTCCTTAGACTAGATAATATCAATTGATCTATCTTTGAACAACTCCAATGGACTGTTGAACCCCTGTAGTGATTTTTTATTTCAGTTCCTATAATTTTCAACTCCAGAATTTCTATTCAGCTCCCTTTTATAATTTCTATCTCTTCACTGGCATTCTCTATTTGGTAAGACATTGTTCTTGTATTTTCCTTTAGTTCAAGTGAGGTCTGCCATGGAACCATCAGACACATCACAACAAATGAGTCCAGTTCTTTGCCAGACAGGTCTGTTCTGCTATCTCCAGCACCAGGAACACAGGCTTTTTCCAAGGCACTGAGCTGGGTGCCAGGGATAAAGTCAGGGCAAGTTAAAACGCTACCAAGCTTGCTGTTCTTACCAAGATTTAAGATTTTACTTGAGTAAACACTCTTCATGTTGCTGGACGCCTTTGGTTAATTTCCAGCATTTTGAGAAGGTTAATTCTGACAAATTTGGCCAGTTTGGGCTGTTTTTATGTTGCCTCTCTTGAACCTGCTCAGCAAAGCTTCTCCCTGTTGTTTCGCTGAAATGCTCACTGGAGTGACCTCTATGCTGTCAAACCCAGGGGTCAGTCCAGCCCTCTTCTCCCTGACCTGTCAGCCAACTTTGGACACAGCTCCTCACTCCCCATGGCTTCCAGGACCTCGTCCACCCCCCCTCCGCCCCCTGTGCTGGCCCCTTGGCTCCGCACTGCTGCTCAGGAGGCCCAGGGCTCAGCCTGGCTCTACTCTTTATCTGCTGTACCCACTGATATCTACTCTTTGTCTTTATCAGACATCGCCTGAGTTTAAATTCCATCTATGTGCTCAAGACCCCACATTGAAACATCCGGCCCTGACCCCTCCCCTGAACTTGAACCCTGGCTCCCAGCACCCCATCTGTAGGCTCACAGATGTCTCAGACTCCATGGGCCTCCTCTCCTTCTCCGCTGATGCGGGCTCCATCCTCCAGAGCCTCAGACCAGATACCTAGGGATAACCCTGCATTCCTCTTTTCACAGCTCACCATCCTTTCATCAATCAACCAGGCTGGCTCTACCCCAGCACAGACCCAGCATCCATTCCACCACCTCGGCTTACACAGCCACCCATATTTCTCACTGGATCTTTGCAACGGGGCCCTTCAGTCTCTCTCAGCATAGCAGCCAGAGGACCCTATTAGAGCACGGGTCAGATATGCCCTCCTATGCTCCACCCTCCAACAGCTCTGACCTCAGGGTGAAAGGCAAGGTCTTCCCATGTCCCCGAGATGTGACTGGTGCCACTCTGGTCTCATCTCCCACTGCCCTCCTAGCTCACTCGAGCCACAGCAGCCTCACTCTGTTCCTCCAACACCTTGGGCGTGCTCCCACTTACAGCCTTTGCTCTACCCAGGTGTCCCATCCCCACCCCACAGCTCTCCCTTTCAGTCTTCACCCATTGCTCACTCTCTGGCCCACCCAGATCAGACGCCTTTCCACACCACCCAGAACGCCCCACCTCTCACCCTGCTTCATCTTCTCCATCAGCATGTATGGCTCCATGTGCTGTGCAGAGTGCATAACGATTTACACATCACAACTGTTTCTCTCCTACGAGTGAGCTGCTCAAGGGCAGAGACTCCTCGTAAGCTCTCTCTACTCTCGACCCCAGGACCTGCCACGCAATAGGAGGTCCACACGTTTGTGAAATGAGTAAAATGAGAGTGAAGGAGTTTCTGGCTGTGAGCCTGTGACCCTGAGAATGTGAAAGTGCAGGCACTGGTGGGAGCGCAGGTGAGGGGTGGGAATGTGGCTGTTCAGGCCCGGAGGGTGTAATCAGGGCCCACAGGTGACATCCTGTCTCCACCCCCCCCACCCCCCCACAGAAGCGGATGCAGCAGATCATGGCCCACTGCTTCCTGTCTGTCAAATCCAAGCTCAAGTGCAAGCTGGGCTACTTTGACCTCATTGGTTGTGACTTCTTGATTGATGAAAACTTCAAGGTGCTGCTGAGGCGTCCCGGGGTGGGGTGGGGTGGGCGGGGCCCAGCATGCAGGTGCAGGAGGCAGGGGCCCTCTGTGCACACCCTGACCACTCAGGCGGGCCCCTGGAGCAGGCAGTTATGCACCCTCCCTAGCCCTGGGGGTGGTGTGTCCACAAGGCTTCGCTCTTCCTGCAGCTGGGGCAGCCCCCAAGGCCAGACTCTCAGACCCTCAGAGTCTTAGCCCCTTGGGCAAATGGGGGAGTGAGGCCATGGGAAAGAAGTGACCTGCCCGGTCACCGGGCTTAATGGGGACCAGGGCCTCAGCCTCCTGCTGGCCAAGTGGTAGGGAGGGAGGTATGCTGAGCAGTGTTGGGCCCAGGTGTGGCTGCTGGAGATGAGCTCCAACCCTGCCCTGCACACCAACTGTGAAGTCCTGAAAGAGGTGATTCCAGGCGTGGTCACGGAGACCCTGGGTGAGGCCCCTACCCAGCCCCCAGGACCCTCAAACCGACCCCTCTGCCTGCCCAACCTCTCCCCAAGTTCAGACATCCACAAACCTAGCTCTCCAGCCCCCGAAAGGCTGCATGGCAACCCCACCCTCTGCTCAGGCCCCCACCTCCCAGCCAAGGTGATGCCCGCCCACGCCTCACCCCAACCCCTGGCCCATCCCTCAGCCCCGTAAACTCCAGCCCCTGGAACGCCATGCCGGGGAGGCTGGGTGCCCGCCCCTCCCTTCCCCCCACGCCTCCCCCGCCCCAGCCGGGCTCACCCTCAGCTCCTCCCCAGACCTGGCACTCGAGACCTTCCAGAAGAGGCTGCGCGGCCAGAAGATGCTGCCGCTGCTGTCCCAGCGCCACTTCGTGCTCCTGCACAACGGCGAGGCAGACCTGTGGCCGCGCCCCGGGAGCTCCCGCAGCGTCCCCCGCCCGCCGTCGTCGCCGCCCGCCGCGTCCCCCGCTCTCCGCGCCGCCGGCAGGCCGGGCGCGCGCAGGCCCGCACCACGCCGGGGCCCCAGCGGCGCGCCCGGGCGGCCCTCCTCCGCACAGCGGCGCCCCCGGCCTCCGACCCCCAGCCCCGACGGCGCCCAGGGCGGGGACCCCGAGGCCCCGGGCGGCGGGAAGCCGGCGCGGGAGCCTTCCCCGGGGTCGTCGGAGGAGGAGCGCAAGAACGCGGGCCACCGGCGCCCTCGCGGGGGCCTATAAAAGCTGCTTTTTTTGTTACAAACGCGACCTCTGCAGCTGGTCCGCGGGTTCCCCGCACACCGGGCCCCGAGACCCCCTCCGGCAGCCTCCCTGCGCCCCGTGAGCCGCTACTCCACTGCTGGGGCCCGTCCCTGGGGGGACACGAGGGTCGAGGGATGGGGGTGTCTGCCCGGCAGGAAAGGGAGATGAGGCCCCCCGTGCCCCTGACTCTGCCCACCGTGGGCTGCTTCCAGTTCCTGGGCCCCCTCACCTACGTCCCTCGTCCACCCGCCCTGCAATCTCACAACCCACCTGACCTCTACTGCCTGGGTCGGTGGTCCCCAGGAAAGGCGCCCAGTGTCCCCCAGTCAAGGGTCTAGAGCCTCACGGACCCCTCTCGATTCCCTTAGGAAGGCTTCCTCACACCCAACATGTTCCTCCGAGCTGCGGTCCCCGCCCTGCCCAGGGTCAGCTCCTTTCTGGGCCTTCGGAGCACCAGCGCCCTGAGCTCTCCTCCACCTGCGGCGCCCGGACTCTACAGCAGGCAGAGACCTGCAGAGGCCGGGAGGACCCAGGCTGTGGGTGACCGGCATATGGTCGTGGCAGGACAGCGCCCTGAGGGAAGTGCCGAGCCAGCAGGTCCCTGTGTGCCCTGTGTGCCCAGCCTCAAGGCTCCTAGGAGATTCAGGGCCTCTCATGTGTCCACACCCCTGCCACCAAGCGTCCTGGGGCAGCCATAATCCCCTCTCCACCCTGGCCTTCCCCCCCCCCCCCCAGTCCAGACCCCAGGGTCTGGGCAGCCCCATCCCTAGGCCCACCCTAGCTGTCACAGCGTCCCCCTGCCCTCATCTCTCCAAACGGTCACCGCCAAGCCACATGCCCTCCTCCTGCCCTGCACACCCTCGCTCAGTACCTCAGCGGGCTCCACCAAGGGGGGAGGGGCCGCCGGGACCCCTGCTGTGCCCTGCATTGGCGTGCTGGTGGGACCCGAGGGGCACCGACCTGTCCTCCCCCGCTGCCCCCCCACTCCTTTCCCAGGGATGCAACGGCCACAGCACCGCTAGAGGGCGGCGGGCACTGACCGCCGAGCCTCCGGCCAGCCCACTGGAGGTATGCAGCCAGGGAGCCAGGGAGCCAGGGAGCCAGGGAGAGAAGAGCCAGATGGAAAGCGGGGCTCAGAGAGGTAGAGTCAGTCCTCCCAGGTCACAGAGCCAGTGAGGGGCCCAGGCCAGGGCTCACCTGCCTTGTCACTCACAGCCCACCCACCCTCCCACCACCACTGCACCCCGTCGTCGTCCTGCTGCTGTGGCCCAGAGTGTGGGGTCCCCAGGGCAGGAGCACACTTGTCACTGGGTGACTGGGGTCTGGGAACCCTGAGTCCCCTCCCAGTACGTCTGGTGGTCTCTCCATGAGGGGTCAAGCCCAGCACTGCGTCCTCTGCAGCCTGCTGGCCAGCTCTGTGTCTGAAGACCCGTCTCCATCAGGGAGAGGTGGCCTCCTCGGTGGGCAGAGCACACCCAGGTCTTTGTAAAACCCACGCCTGTGTCTTCGGGGTCAGGACCACTTTCCTTGCTGGCATCCAGGACACTACACAGCCATGTCACCTCGGGGTCACCCCCTTAACTCGCCCAAGGGGCCTCTAGACCCCATGTCTCATCTCTGAGGCCTCTCCCACCCCCTCCTCACATCCTGCCCACGGGGCCTCTGCCCACGCTGTCCTGTGGCTCACGATGTGGCCCGTGGTGGCAGCAGTGCTGCTCCAGGACCTTCCAACTCTCCTCCAGCCTTGGCGGGACTGTTCCCCTGCTGGTCAGGGCGGTGTCTACGGAGGCGACCCGATCCTCAGGGAGCAGCTGTCCCTGCCGCCTCCATCATCCCTAGGCCCTGAGTGCGTGCAATGGCCCACAGGGACCGTGGTGGGCTAAGAAGTGCATGTCCTGACTGGACCTCCGCCCCCGGGCTCCCCCAAAGCCCTGGACTGTCTGCTGCTCTTGGGCGCCTGGTTACCCCAAGAGCCTGGAGTTCAATAAATGAGGTTTCCTTGCTACTCATTCACCCCAGGGGCGACGGCCACACCCTCACACCCCCATCTGGATCCTCTCCTGCCCCACCCAGCCCCCCATCGGGCTCCAAAGTGTCCTTGCCAGAACTGTGCGGGCTGCCAGGGAGAGGCGGGCAGGGAGCTGAGTCTGGAGCGCTGTCGGCTGTGGGGCACCTGGGCATCTGGAGGTAGAAGGTGCCCCGACATGCAAATGATGTGCGGGGCCCCCTGCAGCAGCTTGAGGAGCAGCCTCAGCGGGGGGGGGGGGGGGGGGGGGGGGAGGGGGCACTCCTAGTGCCTGGGACGGGGCTGCCCAGCACTGCAGCTGGAGCTCGTAATCCTAGGCGAGGGCTGAGGGCCTCTGCCTCCCCTCCCCCTTGTCTGCCTGCTTGGACCCAGCACCACCCAGGGACCCCCACCATCCCTGCAGCCCCCACTGGAGGCCCTCACCCTGGCAGCCACTGGGGCCTCCCTCAGCGCCTGGCAGTCAGGGTTCTGCCCTGGCCAAAGAGCCCACGGAGCCCTGAGGACTCAGAGGACCCCCCTCACACCCCTCTTCCCTGGAACGCGTCTCCAAAAAGAGGGGTCTGGAGCAGCCACGGCCCGAATCACTGTCTCTGGAAAGCACCTCAGCCCCAAAGCGTCCTGCGAAGATGTCTGCCTCTCCACCTAGGTGTGGCTACTTCTTGGTGGGAAGGGGGCGTCCAAGGCCCTGCAAACCACAGCGGGGTGGGAGCTCAGCCCAGCTGCTGGAGGAGTGGCCCTGCTGCTGAAACCGTGGCGGGGGAGCCGGGGAGGAGTGATGGCCCAGGTCCTGGTCAGGGCCCTTGAATGGCCAGACTTAGCACCATGGACCTATCTGATCGATGGGTTCGCATCCCAGCACCAGGGGGCAGCCAGGGACCACCTGCCCTTGGAAGGCCCCCTGAAGCTGCCCTAGGACTGGGGCTGGGAGGGGCTGGCAACCAGTTCTGCTAGGGTGGGTTCCCTCCCTATGCCCCTCAGGGGTCTCTCGGTCCGCTTGCGGAGGGGCCGTGTCTCACAGTGGCTGAGTCCAGGTCTCAGTAGAGGGAGGGTCAGGGGCCTTTTCCAGCCAGGTGAGGCGGTGTGGCTGCGGCGGAAGCACTTCTGGGAACAGAGGACGGCCTCTAGGCCCTTTTCTGAGGCTGAACTGACACTGGATTCCGACCCCAGGGGGAGGAGTTGTGGTTTTCCGGAGCAGCTGGAGGGCCCCTCTGGTTGGTGTAAGGCCAACTGGCCCGAGGCAGGGGAACGCAATCAGATTCCCAGGTTGTATCAGACCGAAATTCTCCGGACCACCCAGTTCCAGAAACTGCCCTGGAGACTTTCCGGACCACCCAGTTCCAGGAACTGACCTGGGGACTTTGAACCCAGCCCAGCCTTCCCGCCTTTCGAGGGGCGGGACTAACGGTCCCCCAGGATACCCGAAAAGACCACCAAATAAGGAATACCCTGCGTCCTCCTGGATTCACCACACCCCTCTCCCTTCTTCCCCTATAAAATCTTGCCCGACCCTCGCCTGGGCACGACTTCTCTGGCCCCTTTCTCTCGGACCAGCGAGGAGCGCTCCCTAATCTCTGGACCAGTGCACCTCGCCCAGGAGCGCTCCCTAATCTCTGGACCAGTGCACCTCGCCCAGGAGCGCTCCCTAATCTCTCGGACCAGGGCACCTCGCCCGGGAGCGCCCCCTAATACAGCTCACTTGAAGCTTTCCTCTGTTTCGCGGTGCCGTTTGTTAAGATCCGACCTTACAGCTGTGGGGGGGGTGGTTTCCCGGGGGAAACAGCGAGGGGTGTGGAGCTGGCGTGGGCAGAGTCTCATCTTGGGATCCCTCTTGGGCTTGGTGACCCAGGTGGGCACATATCTGCCCCCATTCCAGGAAGCTGGCCTGAGTGGGGGTGGGGAGCCCCTCACAGCACCAGCACCCTCCGTCCCCCACGCGCCGGCACCCTTGAGCCTCCTGCCGCCCTGGGGGGTCTCCCTCCTCCCAGCCTGGACTTGCTCAGGCCACCCGACCAAAGTGCCTGTTGGCAGCCTGTGCACCCTGGGCCTGGGTGCCCCAGCAGAGCCTCCAGCCTTGGCCCTGAAGCCAGCCCCTCCCTGCTCTGTGGGACCCCAGCTGGGGAGGGAGGTGAGTCCAGCAGGAAGGGAGAGGGGAGGGAGCAGATGCAGCGGCGGTGACCAGGGTCCGGGCAGGCCTGGTGGGGCAGAGGCCTCTCTGCTGACAGCAGGCCAGCGTGGAGGGAGGTGGCGGCTCCGGTGGCAGTGGCTCCGCGGAGCCCTTCCGAAGCGCCGAGCTCCCTGGGCAGAACCCCCTCCCGGCCCCCCATGAGCCTGGCCTCACTCTCCCAATCCCTCCACTGGGCTGGGCGAGTCCCAGCGTCCCCGCCCCTCCGCGGGGCAGGAATCCCCCGCCCGCTCGCCTCACCCCACTGCCCCCGCTGCCCCGCACTGACGTTCAGGGAGCTTGTCCCACGCAGGCCGCCCGCGAGGACTTTCCGCGCTGCGTCAGCAGAACGCACTCGACACCTGACTCACAGCCTCAGCAGGGGGCTGGGCCAGGGCTGGGGACCCCTTTCCTATACGTGGGAGTGGGGCAGTCAAGGGACCCAGAGGTGTGTGGGGGAGGGGTTGACAGGACAGGAGATGTGGCCTGAGGACAGAGGGGCCAAGGGGTGTGGCAGGCAGGTCCCGGAACACCTGGCTGTCTCCCCTGAGGTCGCTCACTTGGCCCCAGGGGCTGCCCAGAGCCAGGAGCCGAGGGGCTGGGAGAAGGGGCTGAGGGAGGGGTCCTTCCCCTGTGGGTGGTCCCAGAGCACCCCCCACCCCCTGCCTCCTTCCAGGGGTGGAAGTGGGCAGTGCCCCATGCGGTGGGGGGTGGAGGGTGACGCAGAACCCTCTCTCCTCCACCTGCCTTCTGTGAGCTGGGCCCACCTGCCCACTGGGACTGGGTCGGGGTCAAGGGGCTCTCCTGGGCAGCGTGCAGGTGGGAGGGGAGGGCATGGTAGGTGGGGGAGGTGCTGTGCTAGAGCACTGAGCCACAGACAGACAGGTGGCCAGGTGTGCTGGCACCTGGAGAGTGCAGCTGCTGAGACTGCCTGCCACGCCCTGGATGCCACAGAGCCCTGTCAGGAGGCTGAAAAACTACTGCTCGCCTCTGCTGGGCAGGACCCCAGGACCGCCCCGAGGGACCCGTGAGGTGACGGAGGCCAGTAGGAGGGCTTGGAGAGAGGGCGGGACCAGGCCATTCTGAGGCTGTCCACATCCTCCAGGAAGTGTTGGGTATAGAAACTGACCTTGCCCCGGATTGGGGACCCCAGTGACGCAAGGGCCGGCGCCCCATGGGGCCAGCAGGATGTGCGGCCAGCCCGGAACCAGAAGCCGGAGCAGCGGTGGCCCAGAGACCAAACACACACCAAGGAACCCAGTGTCCCAACAAGTGCCAGGCAGGCCACTGGAGGACAAGTGTTGGACGGGGCAGCCCAGCGGCACAGAGGGCAGGTGTGCAGCACAGCAGGTCGCCCCGTGGTCTCGGCTGTGGGCTTGTGTCTAGGACTGGAATGGCCCTAGCTTCTACCCCACCCCCCCACCTAGGCTGGGAGGGGGCTGTGAGAACTGGCGGGGGAGACCCCGGAGCCTGTCCCCTCCCCACTCCCAGCACACGGCCACTCAGGCCACCGGACAAGCGTTTATTGAGTGCCGCCTGCAGCCAGGTCCTGTGCCCATGGCCTCCTGTCCTGGGAACCAATGAGCCACGGGCCCCACCCCAGCGGGGCCAGCAAGAGAGGCAGGCAGCCACGGTGCGCCTCTGTCCCCCTGGGGTTCAGCCACAGCTGCCTCCTCTCCTGCGTGATCCAGAGCACTGGTCACTGTCACCATCCCCCACCTGTTTCCGCCATTGAGGGGAGCAGGGCCGGGCCCAGAGCCGGGGCCCCACGGCAGGGCGCAGAGCCCTTGCTCCTGCGGGCCAGCCTGCGCCAGCTCCGGGAGGGTCTGGCACGGGCGCTCCGGGCCTCAAACCCACAGGTCCTCCAGGCGGCCCTTGTTCTCCGACAGTGGCTCGCCCCACTCCTCCTCGGGGAGCTGGCAGCTGCAGGCGTCCTCGGGCGGGGGTGGCGGGGCCTCTAGGAGCAGCTGCGTCTCTGCAGAGGGGCTGCGGTTAGCAGGCAGGCAGGGGCCCCCCTCCCCGTCCCCAGGGCACAACTGACCTGGGGGCCGTGCTCTCTGCCTCCTCAGTTGCCAGACGTGCAGGCTGAGTTGGGCCACGGTCAGGGCCAGGATGCAGGCGGCCAGGCCGAGGACGGCGGTCAGCAGGCCACGCGGCTCCGTGGGCGGCAGCCCTGGGCTGCACACGGCATCGTGCGTCTTGTTCCCGGGGAACACAGTGGGAAACCCAAGCTTGGAGCAGCTGGGACGCACAGACACAGAGCCCTCGGTCAGCCCTCGGCCACCTGAGCAGCCCCTCAGCAAGGCTGCTGCCCTCCGAGCCGTTGTGGGGGGGGGGCGGTCACTGCACCAGAAGGGACAGCAGAGGCACCACCCTCGAGCCCACCTGGACCACCCGGCCACTGGAAGTCCCCACCAGGACTCACTCTGCCCAAGGTTTGCAGCGGCCCTCACGGCCCCCAGAGAAGGTCCCCGCGGCACAGTCGAAGCACTCGAAGCCGAAGTTGAACTTCCCTGGAGACAGAGGGACAGACGGACACAGGCTGCGAGGGCAGCTGGTGTGGCCGAGGTGAGACCCCCACCTCATCTGTTTGACAGGGGCCCCAGGTGGCCACAGGACCAGGACCTGGGAAAAATCAGGTCCCCCAGGTGCCCCTTTGCAGGGCAGGCCATGACTCTGGGCTCAGTGGAGGGTCCCTGATGGGGATATGGGGGAGGGGAGGGACCTGCCTGCAGAGGCTAGAGTGTATGTGGTGGGAGGAAGGGGTGGAAGCCGAGGCCACGCAAGAGCTAGGCTGGGCCTTCGCTCGGTCCGGAGGCCGGAAGGCGGGAGACCGGGGAGGGTCCCGGAGAGAGGGGTGAGGCTCTGCCCCAGCTGCCTCTAGGCCCGGCGCCATCCAACCTCACACAGCCCCCCCTCCGCCCTCACTCTCCCGGCCCACATGTGCTCAGCCAGGCGCCCCCGCATCGGGTCAGGGTGCGTGCAGGACCTGGGCGTAGTCAGAGCCAGGGCCTAAGGGCCAGACAGCCTCTGGATACCCCCACTGTTCCTCACAACCAGCGCTTAGGGGCATCGTCTCTGGATGGAGAAGCTCAGGCCAAGAGAGAGAAGGAAAGGCTCCCAGAGCCACACCAACAGGAGGCACTGTGACCCCAATGTGGGCTGAGATGCTAAAGCCAGAGAGCGCCCCCCTACCCCGCCAGGGTGCTGCAAGACCCCCAGTGCTGGCGCCCACCTGCCCGGAGGACGTGTCCGTGCCCACCACTTGCGAGCTTCCTTGCACACCTGGCCTGCCCGGGCCACCCCCACCTGCCACTTACCTACAGGCCACGCCCCCTGGCCAGGCGGACAGGAGTAGTACTTGCAGCTCTTACACTGGGGGTCTCCACAGTGGAACTCAGGCTGGATACACTGGCAGTCCGGCTCGGGACAGACCCCCTCAGCTGGCAGGGGGCAAGCAGCCCTCTCAGCAGCTGGGCCGAGCCGCCCTCCCCTGGATGCCCCCCTCCTGGCCCTCCAGGGAAATGGGGGTGGCAGGGCAGCCCCAGCGGGCAGCACACCTGTCTGGGAGCCAGGACCCTGGCTCGGCCCAGCTGTGTCCCTCCCTCCTGGGCGCCCAGCTCCTCCACTCACCAGGCCTGGCTGCATCCCCCAACCGTCCCAAGCTGCTCCCACCCAGGGTGGCCATGACTCGGCATGTGACCCTGAGCCGTTCCTTCCTGGGAGACCTACTCCCCTCCCCTGTCTGGGTCCTGCACTGCCCTCAGTTGCCAGGACCCTTGAGGCAGCCTGCCCGTCCCTCCCTGACCGCCGTCCATGGCTCCGCCGCACTGAGACCTGGACTCTCAGAGCCCCCTTCCCACTCCCCAGGTCCTGGCAGGGGGACACTCTGGGTGTTTTCCCTGCAATATCTGTCCCCAAACTGACCCATTTCACCTGCCCCTCACCCATAGATGCAGGTCTGAGGCAGGGAGCTGGGAGAGAGAGGGGTGCAACCCCAAACTGGGCAAGAAGTGGCCTGAGTGATGGCCAAGGGCTCACTCCCCACTCGGAAGGAACGGGGACAGCCCTCCTCCACCTTGGGACGTCAGACCTGCCTTGGGGAAGGCTCCTACACTCCTTGCCCCCGCCCACCCCCCACCCCCCAGGCCACTGGCCCGGTCTGGGCGGCTTCCGCCTCCCCGGATTGCGCTGGGATCAGGGCTCTGGACTCGGAAAACTACGGGGGGACGGGGCGCAGCGCTCTGCCCTCCGCGCAGGGGCTCCCGGCCCGCCTTACCTGGGGTGCACGAGCGGCAGCAGCGCGCGCTGGTCCCCGTCCCATGCAGATGGCGGCCGGGGTCGCAGCTCAGACCCCCGGGGGGGTGCTGGGCCAGGCCCAGCGCGCAGAGCAGCGCGACGCCGCACAGGGCCACGCGCGCGACCCTCACCCCCATGGCACCCGCGGCACCCATGGCCGCGCGCGGCTCCGCGGTTTTAGGAGGCCGGCCCCTTCCGAACACGCCCAGATCCCGCCCCGCAGGCCGCCCCGCCTCTGCCACTCCCCAAGGGGTCCCGAGGAATTGTTCCCATGGGGGACCCCCCAAGACTCTGCGACTCGGAATCCAGGGCATGGGCAGAGGTTTGGGGCAGTGAGACTGCTCTGGGGATTTCAGCAGTGGGCACGTGTTGTCACGTCTGTCCAAAGCACAGGACGCACCGCACGGAGGGACCCTGGTGTCAACTAGGGACTCTGGGTGACATGACCTGTCAGTGCAGGTTCGTCGTGTGTAACAACTGCACACTCTTCGGGGATATTTATGGGGGGTAGGCTTCCCCTCACTGTTGCCGTGAACCTAAAACTGCTATAAAAGATAAGTTCTTTTTTTAAAAACTTCAAGGGATGGGACTTCCCTGGTGGTCCAGTGGTTGGGACTCTGCGCTTTCACTGCCAGGGGCCCGGGTTCGATCCCTGGTCAGGGAACTGAGATCTGGCATGCCCACAGGGACCCCAAGGGAGAAGAGAAGGTCCCATCACAGGCTGCAGAGCACCTGACCACGGACGAGGGGGCATGCGGGAGACCCACATGGGGGGTGACCTTGGGGGATTCCTAAGTGATCATGCCCTTTGGCCCAGGCATTCTTATCCGGAAACTAAATATGACCCAAATGTGTGTGCCTTGTCGGGGGAAACACCGCGTATACCCAGCCACATCCTTGGGGGGGGGGGCGGGGGGGAGGGGGTCAGAAATGTTTTCTATGTAAAACTTGTGGCCTCCGGGCCTGAAGGAACTGGAGTGTGCGTGGGCACCGGATGCGGGGTGGCAGACAGTGCCCTGAGTCATTGGGGTGGGGTGCGCCCCCAACAAGGGTGGACTCAGCAGGGACCATTCCTGGCTGAGCCCCCTCCCCACCTCCAGCTTCTTCCGGGGGACTCCACGGGCTTTTAAAGATCTTCTCTGACGCCCAAAGCAGGTGGGATGAGACACTTCGTCCTCTGTGAAGCCTCCAGACCCCACACCCCACACCTACCAGAAGTCCTCGAATCCCAGCACTGAGCAGCCTCAGAACCCATCCAGGGGTCAGGACAAGCCCCCTGCACCCCGTCTTTCTGGAGATTAGAACAAGCTCCCCCCCACCCCGCCCCAAATTGGCCAACGGGGCCTGGCTGGGCTCTTGACATGCAAGCCCCCCATAGCCACACACACACTTGTGGGCTGCAACCTCGCTGATGCCTGCTGGGAAGAGCTGGCTAGGAGAGGCCAGGGCATTGATTGAACCCTGACGCTGGGGGAAGAGGGGGCTGCCCAGGCTGCAACTCTGCTGGGCAGATGTCAACCCAGATCTCCCCACACAAATCCAGTCATCCTGGAGGATGTGGAAGGCCGGCCCCGACGGAGCTCTTGAGCCACAGAGAGCCTCCAACTCACCGTGAGACTGTCTCTTGTCTGTCTGAGCCTCAGTTTCCCCACCTGGCACCAAAGGGCTTGGGGGCCCGGCCTCCCCCAGGAAGCCTCCCCAGATTTCTCAGCCCTCCAGTTGAGGCTTGGTACAGGGGCAGCGGGTGGAGACCTCTGGGAACGCTGCAGGGGTGGGCAGTGGGGTGCCAGGAATGTGATTCTGGTGGCGCCCACCGGCTGGAGGTGTGTTGCCGGCTGTGACCTGGTGACCTGGGCAGACCCAGAAGACTTGGTTTGAGACCCTCTGAGACCTGCAGCTGCCGCCTCGCCTGATGGGGCATCTGTCCTTTTCAGAGGAAAATGACAGGGATTAGCAATTTTGTGACTCAACTATCGTTTTCAAGTCCCAGGATGCGCAGGGCCCTCCTCAGAGAAGCAGCTGGGCTCTGCAGGAGAGGGAGGGGTCTCTAGGACAGCTCTGGCTGCTAGGGGGTAAGGTGAGGCCACCCTGTCTGAGGACCCCCCAGGCCTCGGCTCAGCTCCTAGATGGGGAGGAGGGTCTGAGCCATCCCGGGACCCCAGGGAAAGGTCAGGAGTGGAGAACTCAGCAGTCCTGGCCCTTCTGCCCATGTTCAAGGCCTGAGCAGTCCGGTCTGTACCAGGACGGCATCACCCCAATTCTGGTAAGCGCCTGAGAAAATATGATAAATCCCCTACAAATGACGTTTGTCTGACAAGATCATATCTGTTGGCCCTTCTGGAAGCTGGGCCAGCCCATCAGGCACCAGGGGGCAGCTGTCTGCCCGAGGGGGGCTGCCACCCGCAGCAGCAGGAAACCAGAGGCAGGGCTGTGTGTAACAAGAGGCAAAAGCGCCGTCGGGGTTGGGGGCCTGCGCCTGCTCTCCTGTCCCTGAGGCTCCGGAAGGCCCCTCCCACACAGGCACTGGGTTACCGCGAGCTTCTGTAACCGGGCGCTGCGGGGGAGATGGTTTCTATCTGCTCGCGGTATTTTCCTATCCTCTTTGAGCAGCTCGTCACATTTTTCATCATTTGTCTCAGCTCACACAAGTGACGCGCGTCCAGGGGGCAGAGGGTCCCAAGCAGAGTCCAGGGGTTAACCTGGAGGGCTGTGGGGCAGGATGGGGAGCCAGGTGGGGCCCTGGAGCAGGGAGGAGCCAGGGTGGGTGCCTGTGGGCCCCCCGGGGGGTGGGGGGAGCTCTGGCGGGGTTTCACACGGGAGGGGCGGTTGTCAGCAGAGACAGGAGTGGAGAGCGTGCTTAGCGGCAGCAACCGAGGAAAGTGAAGGTGACCAACCTCCTTCCACCCACCCGTCAGCTTTCAGAGGTGGAGCCACCAGGCTGGGGGCAAGGTGGGGGGCTCGCAGCTGGGAAGTCTGGGGAGGAAGCCCACGACCTTCGACCTTCCATTCCCCAAGGATCTGGCCCCTCCCCCAGGCCCCTTCATCAGGTCCCTTAGCTTCTCTGCACAGCCTGCACACTGCCCAGGGACCACAGGCCCCAGGCCAGTGGTGCCTGTTTGCTGCCCGTTTCCAGGGCAGAGAGGACGTATTGTGTTCACTGCTGCAACCCGAGATCTTTCCAAGAACACGTGGATGGTTCGGTCTCCCCTTTGCCCCCGGGAGGTCCAAGGGACCAGCCAGGGTTCAGAGGTTTGAGGAGAGGTGGGAGGGCCTCCAGGGCAGCTCTGCGGAGAAAGCCAGCCTGAGAAACTGGGGGGCGGGGGGGGCAGCACACGTGTCAGGGGTGGACCTTTGGCCGCCGTGAGGGCACTGGCCTGTGGGATGATGCCCAGTCCTGGCACACAGGTGGGTGAAGGGAGGTAGCAGGCTGGGAGCTCAGAGGTGTGCATCTTTGCCAGGTCCACCGGTGGGGGGCCTCGGGCTGTCGCATTTCTCTGCTCCCACCTCCCACCCCCACCCCACGCCTGACCCCCCCGCCCAGCACCTCGGTGGTCTTTTATTTCAGTTAGCAGTAGCTCTTAAATCTATCAGAAACCCCGAGGGCGCAAACTATGGGCTGCCTGTGGGCTGTGGAGCGTTTCCTCGCGGGCCCACGGCTCCGGTGCTTAGATGAGCCGTTTAACCCGCCCACCTCACCTGCGCGGAGGGGCGCTGTGGGGGGGGGAGGGGTGGCGGGCCACAGCCCACGGCTCAGCCCGGTGTCCCCAGGGCGGGCTCGGCCCCAAGTCTGCGCAGCTGCCAGAGCAGGGGCTGCCCCCAGTGCCAGCCAGCGGGCCTGTCCGGCCACTCGGCCTCGCACAGCCCACTCTGGTGCCCACGGACGCTTGGGTTCCCACCTGGGGGCCTTTTCACATAAAGCTGCACATCTTGTTCGCGCCCAGGGTGGACGAAAGGTCAGCCCAGTCAGAAGCCTCCAGTTTCCCTGAGGGACTCGGGGGCCCTGCAGGCATCAGTGGGGGTCCCAGGGTCACCACACACTCAGGTTTAACAGGGCGTGGGGCTTGAGAAGAAACAGACGCTCGTGCCCTCTCCTGGGAGGGGCCCCAGAGACCCTGAGGGGTTGTCCTAAAACCCCCTTTGGGACCAGGGCCTCCTCAGGGCTCCCTCCCACCCAGCAGCCCCTGCCAGGCCCTCCCAAGTAGCCCCAGAGTGGGTGCGTGGGGTCCACCGGGCCGGGCTAGCATCGCGCTTGCCAGGCAGGGTCGCGGCTCCCCAGAGTGGGTGTGTGGGGTCCACCGGGCCGGGCTACCATCGCGCTTGCCAGGCAGGGTCACGGCTCCCCAGAGTGGGTGCGTGGGGTCCACCGGGCCGGGCTAGCATCGCGCTTGCCAGGCAGGGCTCGCGGCTCCCCATGCACTTATTTTGGCTGCCACGCTCCCCAGAGGCGCTGGGAGGTGCCCAGCGAGCAGGACAGCAGCCCCAGGTCTCTGAGGGAGCCAGGGGAGCCCCTACCCCACAGCCAGCCCCCGTGTGTGCAGCCCTCAGACCACTGGTGCCCAGTCAGAGGCCCACATTTGCCAACGTCGTTTATTGGGGCCACCCTGGGTGGGGAGTACGCACAGCATACATAGCAGGGCCCAGGGTGCCAGCCCAGGAGCGCCTAAAACGGCACAGGGCGGGGGGACAGGGCGCCAGGGTCCGGGGGTGACGGGTGGGACGGCCTGCGTCTGGGGGCCCCGGCCTGCGGAGGGGTGCCGGCTTCTACGCCAGTGGACGTTGCTCAGATCTTGGCCAGGCTGGAGTTGGCATCGGCATGCTCCTCTTGGATGGGGGTCCGGAAGCTGTTTGCCCCTGCGGAGGAGGAAGGGGTGAGGGGTGGGGGGCGGGAGGTGGGCGGGGTCCCAGCCTCCCGCAGGCAGCGCGCTCTGGGGCCCACCGAGAACACTCACCGGGGGGCTTGGGGGCGTTGGGCGTCGGCCTCCAGGCCCTGTGGTGCAGGAGCAAGGCCAGCGCGGCAGCCACGGGGCCAAGCAGGCCCAGGCCCAGGCCCAGGCCCAGGACAGCGGCCAGCTCAGGGCCTGCAGGGAGGCAGGGCCCGCTGGGGTGGGGTCTACCAGGGAAGGAGTCCACCGCAGGAGGACCACACCCGGCCAGCGGGCAGCTCCACCCACCCTCCCCGCCACCCCACCCGCCTTGGGTTGGGGGAGGGCCAGGCCCCCTTACCCTTGGGGGGCTCTGCGTGGGGCGTGGAGGGCCCCTGTGAGGCCCTCGGCCAGGTAGTGGTGGGCTGAGCAGGGGTGGACCGGGCTGCGGGGCCCTGGGTCTCCCAGGCGGGTGTGAGTCGGGGGCTCCTGTCCTCACAGACAGCGTCCGAGCTGTTGCTGGCCGCCTGCAGTGTTCGCTTTCCTAATGAGGTGCAGCTGAGTGGGGCAGGGGTGTTGATCAGGCCAGAACGTCCCCCACCCCACTCGTCCCCCACCAGTGGGACGGGCCGAGAACTGGGGCAGGACCAGGGAGATGTGAGGGGTGACAGGGGTCCACAGCAGGTCACTCAGGCAGCATCAGAGTCCAGCCCAAAGGCGGCGAGGAGAGAGGCCAAGGTCCCTGCCACCCCCCAGGAGCCTGGGCCTCCCCCGGCCTCCCCCCCACTTCTCAGCCTGCTTCCCACACCCGCTCCCCTGACCTGTTCCCGCCTGCACCCCTCTCTCCCAAACCCCTGCCTGCTCTTTTCCTGCCCCCACCAGGTCAGCTCAACAAGGACGGGGGCCTCTCAGCTGTGAATGAGTGAGGGTCTCACACCCTCCCGGGCTGGGCTGGGGTCTCACGGCCTCCCCGCTCCAGCCCAGCAGGAAGGTCAGTGGGAGGAGGCTGGGTCAGGGCCGAGCAGGGGTCGTGGGGGCGGGGCAGGGACCAACGTCAGGGGGGTGGGGGTGCTAACATGGGGGGGAAGGGGTCACGGGGTGCCGGGCCCCGGAGCTCCCAGCCAGCAGCTTCCTACTCCCAGACCTGACCCCTGCCTCCCAGACCCCAGGCCACCCAAACCGTCCAGCCCCAGGGACACTCACTTGGTCCAGGGCTGGCAGGCCTGGTCGTTGCCCGGGGAGAAGTGTCCTGGTGGGCACGGGGCACAGTCTGCAACAGAGTCAGCAGGCTCTGCCCATCTGCCACCCCTGGGGGGCCCAGACGCTCACCCCCCCAGGGCCTCCAGCAGCCCCTCTCTGCCTACATGCCATCCACTGGCCACGACCTGGGAGCCCCCCAGCCCCTGTCTTGGCCTGACCTGCCTGGGGGACAGGGCACTCAGCCAAGCCTGGGGTCGGGGTGCTGAGGGGAGGTGACAGCGTGTGAGGGACATGCTCCTTCCACATGGTTCCAGAGGCACCCCTCACCAACTCCACGCTTGTAGCCATAGCCGTCCTGGGGCTGGGTGCCCGGCCTGCAGCCGCAGACCGTGTCTCTCGTGGGTGTGCATCTCTGCTTGGGCTCGCTCCCACTTCCTGGGGGTCGGGTAGGGTGGGCGCAGTCAGTGGGGAGGCCAGAGACACAGAGCAGGCTGGGGGACCGAGGCTGAGGGTCTGCAGCTATCTCCCCAGGGCCAGCTGCCCCCTTGCAGCTGGGTGGCCTCTGGTCCTCTCCCATCCCCGGATGCCATGTCCCTCTTGGCCACACAGCCCCAGGGGTCATCCCGTGGCAGCTCTGCCCGCTCTTCCCACCCCTCCTCCAGCCTGCTCAGGACCCTCTGTGGTCCTTGACTCTGGGTCTCACCCACTCAGCCTCTGGGAGGGGGAGGAGCCCCGTGGGTGGCCTCAGCTGACTGTGGTACTCTGGGGCAGGGGAGGGCAGGCCCCGGCGTGGTCTGGAGTTTGCTCCGAGGCCCCGTGTGAAGTGGGTACCAGCGGGGCCGGGGCGCCTGGCGGTGCTCACTCTGGTTGCACTGTGTGCAGGGCTTGCAGGCCTCGTAGTTGACTGCCTCGTTGTAGAAGCCGGGCTCACACGGACGGCACACCGTGTCCCGGGCGTGGTTGCAGCGGCTCTCCATCCCATAACCTGCCACGGGAGGCCGGGCTCAGAGCTCCCCACAGCCTGGCCTTCCCCACAGCAGCCCCCGACCGCCTCTGGCTGGCCCACCATCCCATCCCAGGCGTGGCTCCAGGTCACCCGCTTGCCCTAAGTCCACTCGCCCCACGGTGCCTCACCACGTGACCCCATCTGTAGGTCCCTGTGTCCCCTGACCCCGTCTCCTCATCCTGGGTCCCTGTAGGCACCCCTCCCCCACTCCACGTCCAGGCCACTCACCTGGCTGGCACTCCTTACAGCACCTGCTGCCACTGGGGTAGGTGTCCCCAACACAGTTGAGCTGGGCCGCAGCGCCCAGCGCGAGCCCCAGGAGCAGGAAGGCCGAGCCCGGCGCCCTGGGTGGCTGGGCTCCCACGCGCATTCTCGGCTGCTCTCAGCCCCACAGCTCGGGAGTCTGGGGTTTTTCCTTGCAGGATGTGGCTATAAGGGCTGCGGGGGAGGGGTGGGGAGGGCAGGAGGAGGGGACCAGGAGGAAGGAGGCCCCAGGAAGCACTGGAAGGCAGCCTGTGTCCCGGTCCTGGGCTTCTCTTCTGCCCTGGGCGCCAAGGCCCCCAACCCTGCGATAACGGCCGTGGGCCTCAGGCTCGGCCCAGCCAGCAGCTGCAGTGTGCAGATCCGGGGCCTGAGTGAGGACCCGCAGCCCCCTGACCCCTGCCAGGGCCACCAGGCCAGGTCCTCCAGCCCAGCCGGTCTGCACTGACCCCTCCCCCTGGACCCCTCCTACTCCTGTCTCACAGGAAACTGGAGCCCCTTCCGCCAGGCATCCTGGCTGTCCCCCTGCCCTGCCCAGCCTGGCCAAGCTGCCCAGACCGGGGTGGTCTTGGGATCCCTCCACCTGGCTCACTCCTCCTGGGCGCCCCCCTCTCTGCAGGGCAGAGCCCTGAAGAGGAGCGGGGGACTCACCCTGAGGCCAGTCCTCACCCCTGCCCCACAAAAGGGTGCCCGGAGCACATGGGCGAGCCAGGGCAGCACACTGGATCAGCCATCAGGTGCAGGGGGAGGGCTGGTGGTGTCCAGGGCTCCAGAGCATGGTCACTGGCCCAAGTGTCCAAAACTAGCTCGGACCAATGCCAGCAGCCCTGGTGGGTCAGATGCCTCATGACCAGTGCCCACAGTGGGTGCGCAAGCACGTGAGGGTGTGTGCTGGTGTGAGAGGGAGAGAGCAGCTGAGCGTCCTTGAACACAGCAGGCATCTGAATCCACGTTAGTGCCCTAAACCCACACGTGGAAGCTTGATCCCCGTGCAGCTGTACTGGGAGACCGGGGCCTCTCAGGAGGCCATAAAGGCTGGGTGGGGTCACAGGGTGGGCCTGATCCAGTGTGACTGGTGTCCCTACAAGAGGAAGAGGGCAGGGCACAGACACGAACAGGGCACGACCACGTGAGGACACAGGGAGGAAAAAGGCCTCAGGAAACACCAACGCTGCCCACTCCTCGGTCTCTGGACATCCAGCCTCCAGGACTAGCAGAGGGTAAACGTCTGTGCTGCAAGCCACCTGAGCAGACCGAACACGTGCTGCTGGGCAAGCCCTGCCCGGTGCCCTGGGGGTGGCGTGTGCCTGGGAGCGTGCACCAGCTGTGTGTGCAGCACGCGTGTGTGGCGCTGGCTCCACATGCCGGGATGTGTGCTCCCATGAGCACCTGGGCATGTGCCTGGGGCGGGGTGTCCCGTGAAGACAGACTCTCCGCTCTGCCCCCTGGCCGGGCAGGGGCTATCTCCCTAAAAACTCTGGAGGCCATGCCAGGCTCTCCCTGCGCCACACCCACCCCAGGTTTAGGGTGTTCCTGCAGCACCACTGGGACAGGAAAGAGAGCTCCCGTGTCCTCAGGACAGGTGGGGAGGGCCTTTGTACCGGCCCCCCGTGGGGCACGAGGGAGGAGCACAGGTGCCCATGCACACACATGCACACGTGCACACACACACGTGTGTACATGCTCCCTCTCATGCAAAGCTCTGATCCTGGTGGCCCAAGGCAGGGAGGCCGTATGGCTTTGGTGCTTTTAAATCTGAACCACGAGACAGGATTATCTGCTTAATGGTTAACCTGAAGCTTTGGCGGTGGGGGGGGGGGGGGGGCAGGCCTCCCGCAGTGGCTGGAAACCCCCCACCTCCTGGGGGCACAGGTAGGATGTGGGGCTCCCTGCCCACCTGTGGGAAATTCCGCCAGCCAGCTCCGCCTGCGGGCAGGGGCCACCGCAGGGTCGTCGCCCTCAGCCTCCAAAGAGAGGGAGGGTCCATGGGGGAGGGGCAGGGCTCCAGGCAGCCTGCTGTGCACACTTGTGTGTGCGTGTGTTGTGCCCCGTCTCCCACTGACAGTGAGAAAAACTATTTTAAGACAAACCATAGCTGCTGAGGTGGAGGTAACTCGGGGTCTGGCGGGCAGCACCCCATGCCTTATGGGGGCCATGGCAGGGGAGGCCGCCCGCCCCCTGCCCAAGGCCCCGACTCTGGGCAGCGCACCGGGGCCCGGCCCGCACCTCTGTCCCAGCGTCCCACCTGCTGGTGGCCACCCACCCACACGGCCAGAGCCACGGGCCCCGCCCTCCCACCCCGCCTTCTGGTCGCAGTTCTGAAAAGCCTTTCCTCTTGTTTGTCTGGAAACCGGCCCAGATTCTGCGGCGGCCCCTCCCCGGCCCCTCCCCACGCTGCTCGGAAGCAGGTCACGTGGGCAGCTCAGGGCAGCCTCTCTGCCCACCTGGCCTGAGCCTCCAACCCCAGCAGGGCCTTCAAAGGCCCGTGCGGACCCCCTGGCCGGGTGAGCCGTCCACCGAGGCACCATGGGCCACGGCTCAGGGCTCTGAGGGGGGCCCGGCGGGGGGCCAGGTTCGTGGGTATGTAGAGTGGAGACCCTCCCTTGTCACTTAACTCTCACTGCCCACACCCCCCCAGCCCGCACCCCAGCCAAGCCAGCGGGCGTGCCAACCCTGGGGGAAGGGCCCGGTGTGGTGGTGGGACCGCAGCCGGGAGGACCAGGTCTCACCCCTCCCGCCAGAGGCTCCTGACCCCCCAGGTCGCCCCTCCCCGCCCCCCCCGCCCCAGGCCAGGACTCTGGGTGGCTCTTGGGGACTCCCCCAGTTCTCTGCCCCCAGCCCCGCGCCCTGGGGGCCCAGGGCTCGTCCTCAGAGCCCCCTCCACCCCAAACTCCCATTTCCTCCCAGCCCGTCCCAGGTGGCCTCACCCAAGCCTGGACTCCAGCTCCTGACTTTAAATCTGCAGCCCAGATCCCCAACTCCCGCCCTGCAGACGGCCCCTCCCTGTCCCCCACCAGGACACCGTCCCGCCTGGCGGCCCCGTGTCATCCTCCCCCGTGTCGCAGGTGACCACCGGCGCTAGCAAGCCCCTGCTCTAACCAAACCGCCCACCGCAAAGCTTCAAGTGGAAGCTGCCTGGCCACAGACATCCGAAGTCGTCTACGTGTTTTTTTCCCCACCAAAAAAATGAAGCTGGGAGAAAAAGGAAACTATATTTCAAAGTAAATTAATGTGATTCCTGTCACCAGTATTAGCGTTTCCTCGGAGACTGAACGCCACAGGGCCGGCGGCTCTCACGGCCCCTTCCCGACCCCCCAGCCGCCGGCTGCTGGTTTCCAGCAAAGCCTTCATCTTTCAGTTTTCAAGGAAACGGCGGGAGCTGCGTATTTCCCACGGTGTGGCCAGCCCGCAGGCCCTGATGTGGCCGGTGCCTCTGGCAGAAGGGCTCCAGTTCTCGGAAGCGAGAAGCAGTGGGTACGCGGGAATCGCGGGAATCGAGGCGCCGCAGGAGGGACGGGACGGGGCGGGGTGGGGGAGGGGTGGGCGCGGCGGCGGCGGCTCAGAACTCCTCGTGCACGCTGCGGGCGTAGTCCACCAGCTTGCTGCCTGTGAAGAACTCGCTGTACTTGAGCACCTCCTCGGGCTCCAGGCAGTGGTTCTGGTTCTCGTCGGCAACGGCGATCATCTGCTTGGCCTCGTTGAGGGCGCTGAACTCGTTCATGGGGTCCATGTAGTCCTGCAAGGGCCCCGGCTCAGCCCCGCCACAGCCCATGCCGCCCCAGGCCAGAGGCATCTCCTCACGTTCAGCCCGCATCCGGCCACGCAGCCGAGACCCCCCGCCCAGAGGACGTCCCATGCAGGCTGGCACCCCTGCCTCAGCGGGGCTGTGACACCACAACCAGCTCCAGGAGGTGAGGTCTTGCTGGAAATACTCCGTGAGCTAGTGGGACAGAAGCTGCGGGGCAGGGAGGTGGGAATGTTCTAGAACGTTCTGGAAGGTGGGTGCCAGGCCGGAAGTGGCTCAGGGACAGGCAGCCTGCACCGGCATGGGTAGCTCCACGCCCACGGAAGGGCAGGACAGGGGGAAGGCTGGCCCTGGAGCGGGGCACACACACACGGACCGGCTTGGCCGCCGGGGCGGCGGTGCTGAGGGGAAGAAGCTCCTGAACCGGGGGTCCCGCCGCTATCAGCAGGGATCAGAGAGCTCCGGCTAAAATGAAATGACTCATGCAGCAATGGGGAAAAACAAGCCCCACGCAGCACCTACACGCGACACCAGTGAAGACACTCCCGAGGCAGGAAGCGGGTCCAGCGGCGCGCAGCCTTCCCGCCCCAGCGTCCGGCCAGGCCGACCCCACTGCCCAGAGCAGCGGGCCCCACACCCACCTCCAGCTCCGCCGCGGTCACGATCCCGTCGCGGTTGGCATCGATCAGCTCCTCGAACTCTCTCTTCCTGTCTCGCACCCAGCCGTCGTCCACGTCCTGGCCCTGCTGGTTCTCCACGGTGCCCACGGGCAGAGAGATGAACTCGGACAGCGAGAGCTTCTTGTCACCATCCTGGTCTGCGGGACACGGGGGCAGACGTCAAGACTCCAGCGGGCGCGGGACCACTGAGGCCACTCCGGAGAAAACTCAACTGACGGGGCTTTGCTGCCAGGTTTTCAGTTTGTGTGGTTTCGGCCTGACCCCAAACAGCGGCCGTACAGCCCCCGCAGGCCACCCAGCCCAGGACCGGCCCGTGCTGACCTCCGCGGCTGGGCCTCACCCAGGTCCCGGATGATCTCCTTGACCATGAACTGCAGCATGCCGCGGCTGTGCTCGGGGTGCAGGAACGACAGGAACTCGCTCTCCGTCAGCAGCAGGTCCGGGGGCGGGTTGTCCGCCTGATACCAGCGGTCTTTGAGGTTCTCCAGGACTTCCTGTGCTGAGAGAGAGAGGCGCATCCGTGAGGACCCACGCACACGGGACCCCTGCACGCATCCAGAAAGTTCCGAGACACGCAGCCCGAGTGCAGGGGGGGCCAGCTCAGGATGTGGTGGCACGCGGGGCCAAGGGCCTGGCCCTCGGAGGGGTCCTCAGCCCCCTGGGGCGCAGACACACAGACGCCCCAAGATGCAGGTGCAGACCCTCAACCGAAACAGACCCCCCCCACCCCGGACACAGACCCCCTTAGACACAGCCCCGCCCCCGCTCGTTCCCGGGAAGCGGGCCGCCGGCTCTGTGGGAACAAAGGCACAACTTGCTTCCCTTCCGTCTCCGCCCGTGCACTGTCCCAGGCAGGGCTCTGAGGGAAAACTCAGTTTCCAGGTATGACTCACACGTCCCCTGTGCGATCCCTGCTACCCCTGCCACTGTGGGAAGGCCCGGCGAGGGGCCCTGGGGCCGGTGGTCGGTGACGGGCTGGGTGTCCAGCCAGGGAGCGGGGAGAAGCCGGCGCATCCGCACCCTCACCCGGGGCCCAACTCCAGCTTCCGGCTGGGAACAGGGACGCCGGGCCCGGCCCGGTCGCGACGGGGAGAACCCCACACAACGCCTGTGGCCTCACACCTCGTGCCTTCTGACAGAAGGACAGAAGAGCCGTGGCAACTACAGGATCGCCCACTGCCTACCTGCCCGGCCACAGGGACAGGAGTGGTGGGACGGGCACGGGCTTGCCTTGCCGTGTCTACCCAGAGCCTGCGAACGCGACCTGATCTGGGAAAAAGGTCTTGGCAAGTGAAATTAGTAAAGGTTCTTGAGACGACACCACCTGGGATTCAGGTGGGCCCTAAGCCCCGGTGTCCTTGTGTAAGAGGAGATGAGATTGGAGAGCAGTGGCCACAAGCAGGGACGCTGGCAGCACCAGAAGCTGGAGGCGGCCTGGAGGGACCCCGTCTGCAGCACAGGGGACGGCGGCCCCGGGGGGCCACGTGAGCTCAGCCCCCCCCACGCTCTCCCTCCTCTGGGACCCTCGACAGCCGCTTTTCATTTCTGATCCCCCAGAGCTGCTCCCCCCCCAGACTCATGAACACACGGGAGTGAGGTGAGGGCTGGGCGGATGGAGATACCATGAGCTCTAGATCCAGGAAGAACACGTCCTGACCCCACACCCCCAAGGGAAAGGGCGCTGAGGACAGACAAGCAGGCAGACGGCCAGCAGCTGCCCAGAAGCCAGTGCTAAATGCCCAGTGCTGGCAGGAGGACAGGCCCCGACGCCTCTAAAGGGCACATTCGGGGGACGGTCTAGAGCCCGCGAGCCACAACTACTGAGCGCACGTGCCACAACTACTGAAGCCGCGCGCCTAGAGCCCGTGCTCCGCAACAAGAGCAGCCACTGCAATGGGAAGCCCGCGCGCCACAACGAAGAGTAGCCCCCACTCGCGGCAACTAGAGAAAGCCCGTGCGCAGCAATGAAGACCCAACGCAGCCAAAAATAATAAACTAAATAAATAAAACCCAGCAGAACCAAAATCCTGGGTGACACCACACAAACTAGGAAGGAGGCCTCTATACTGCCCAGAACAGAGTAAAATGGTCTTGACTTAGACGGTCAACGATGGACTGAGAAGAAAAAAGTAAAGCTGTAAGACACAAAACCCCTGGCCACAGTGGGCAGCCCCCATGGGCACACCTGGCAGGCCACCAGATAGGGTCATGTGACTGCTGAGGAAAGGAAAGTGGGCTCTCTAAATCCCACACTAGCAGAGGAAAAGATGAAAGGAACAAAAGAAATATCAATAGAAACAGAAACGAGCTTAACCCATCTATTACCAAGAAATTCAGGCTGGCTCACGATATAAAGCCAACCTCTACGTAGCCCATAAAAAACAAAACGCTTTGGAAAAACCAAGTCTCAAGGGCGGTTCACAGGTGAATTCTACCAAACGTGTGGGAAGGAGGCCATACCAATCTCCACAATCTCTTCCAGAGGAGAGAGACAGAGTGAACACTTCCTAACTCATCCTCTGAGTCCTAACACTAAAAGCAGAAAGGACACAAGAAAACTACAGACTGACGTCTCGCGTGAACATAGACACAAAAACATTCAACAGAACATTAGCAGGGGCTTCCCTGGCTGCGCAGTGGTTGAGAGTCCGCCTGCCGATGCAGGGGACGCGGGTTCGTGTCCTGGCCGCTGAGCCTGCGCGTCTGGAGCCTGTGCTCCACAACGGGAGAGGCCACAGCAGTGAGAGGCCCGCGTACCACCACCACCACCACCACCACCACCACCACCACAACAAAAAAAACAAAAAAAAACATATATATACATTAGCAGATCAAATCCAACAACATACAAAAACAATTACACGTTACAACCAAGTGGGATTTATCCCACATAGGCAAGGTTGGTTCAACATCTGAAATTCAACTGATATTCACATCAACAGGCTAATGAAAAGAAATCACGTGGTCGTATCAATAGATGCAAAAAAGCATCTGACAAAATCCAACACCCATTCATGACGAAAACTCTCAGCACGCTAGGAACAGAGGGGACTCGTCCCCTTGATATAGAATATCCACTAAAAACCCACGGCTAAGATCATAGTGGCGAGAAAGCCGAAGCTTTTCCACCAAACTCAGATGAAAGCAAGGATGGCCCTTCTCACCACTGCTCTTCAACATCGCACGGAAAGTCCAGCTGCTGCACTAAGACAAGAAAAGGAATAAAAGAGACACTGATTGGGAAGAGGAAATAAACCGTTTTTGTTCAACGATGTCACGATCGCCTACGTAGAAAACCCAAAAGAATCGACAAGAAACTCCTGGAGCCACTCAGCAAGCACAGCAAGGCTACAGGAGGGAAGACTGCCATACAGAAGCCAATGGCTTCCCTGCACCACAGCAGGGAACAAGCGAAATTCGGAACTAAAACCTAAAGAGCACACACAGAAACAAGGCGCAGATTGCAACCTGATGGCAGACGAGAGTCCAGTGCCAAAAACACCAACCCTGACAGAGAACCGTGGCGCCCACAGCACGTCTACACACATAACAGTAACGAACATCCCTGGACCAAAGAACACAGCGCCAGCCGTCACAAAGCAGACGCGGGAAGGGCCACAGACACCAGCAGGAGGCCATGACGCAACCCTGACGGCCAGGTGCACGTGAGACAAACAGGGTAGCATCACAGGCACAGAGACGTCCCAGTAAAAATCCGGCACTCACGTGTCCATCAAGAGAAAACGACACACTGGATGACAATGGCAGGGACGACCTGCCCAGTAGAGACCGAACAGGAGAACACAGGAAGCACATGGCGCTCTGACAAAGCCCCCAACAAGCTGAACTCAACACCCGGCTGCGAACGAACCCCCGGGAGGGACGGGATGGCACAGAGCTGGAGACAGTAACCAGTGAAGGTCACGAGAACTCTTCAGTGGTGCTTCAGAACTCAGCTAAAAGGCGTCAAATTTTGTACCAGGGAGACGGGTTTTTAAAGGAACGTCTCTGAAAAGCTAAGGGGAGAGCCGGCTGGGACTGCGGCCTCCAGGCACCGCAGGCAGGAGCCCCCCCGGCCTTGCCGACTCCCGGGGTCGGACCTCATCTGGCACTGAGGACCTGTCCCAGCCGAGACCCGCTTCCGGTGCTTCCGCCACCTCCTCCCCGGAGCTCAAGCCCACCTGAGGCCGCCGGCTGCACCTACCCACCCAAGGCACCTGGGGGATCCTGGGGGCTCTGCCTAGCGGCCCCGTGGGAGCACCCGGCTGTGGCCACACCCGCCTCGCCCCCTTCCCTCCTGGCATCTGTGCTGTCACGCACGCCACGCTGGCCACGGGAGGCCGAGCCCTTACTCTCTTCGTCGATGTTCAGGTCCCACTTATTCTTTATCTTATCAGCAACTTCTCTCTCATCATGGCCTTTGCTTGCCAAAAACTTCACCTTGTACTCATCCCATGACACATGGCCTGAAAGAGCAAGACAGCTTGTTAGAAGGTTTAACAACGAACGCTTTTTTTTTTTTTTTTTGCCCGCGCTGTGGGGCACGTGGGATCTTAGTTCCCCGACCAGGGATCGAACCCAAGCCCCTTGCATTGGAAGTGAGGAGTCTTAACCACTGGACCGCCAGGGGCGTCCCAACACTGAACGTTTTAAAAAGATGTATCTAGTTACTTTAAGCCATCAATCCAAAATCCTGGTGCTAAGGGCATCTGTAGAGGCAGGGGCAGCAAAACACGGCTCCAAGCTTCACGACAGAGCTTAGCCCCGTGGTCCCCGCCTGCACGGCAAGCTGGCATCTGTCTCCCTGGCAGCACCTGCAGACCCCTCCTGCCTCTCACCTCCTCGTTCCTGGGCCCTCGGCCTGGAGCCCCGCCCCCGCACACACCTCCAGGCACCGCCCTCCGCCAGCAGCCTCAGGCCACCAGGGTCAGGGCGAGGTTGGCCGTACCGTCACCGTCGGGGTCCACGGCTCGGAAGTGCGCCTTGCTCTCCGCGATGGCCTCCTGGAAGTGCTCGGCCGTCTTCTCCATGATCCAGCGCTGCATCTCCTTGGCACTGATCCTTCTGTCGGTGTTCAAATCCACCCTGCAGGCCCACGAGACGTGTCAGGCGAGGCTTCCAGCACCCCGACAGACGGGTGTACGGACAGAAGGATGGCCACAGGCGTTCTGCAGGCAGCCACAAAACCACCACGAACAGCAACACATCCCACCCAACGGTGACGCAGGAGAAGTCGGGGGGATGTGGGGGACACAGTGGGGGAATCAGGGAGGACGCTGGGCAGTGTCACTACCCCATCCGTTTCGGGACCACAGCGAGGGGAACAAGTCTCCCCCCTACCGCAGGACGGGGTCCACAGACCCACACACCTGGGACTCACGAGGAGTCCCTGGTAAGAGGGCTGGAGCTCAGACACTGGAGCACAGTCGTGTCTACTCGCACAAACACAGCCAGCGAGACAAAGAAACAGCTGTAGGTGCAAGTGTGCCGGCAGCTGTACACTCTGCACACACTCACGTGCATATGTGGGTGTGTGCATGGCTAGTGCACACCAGTGGACATGGGTCAGAACACATGTGTATGCACGGGCTGGCACACACACACATAGGAAAGGACTACAGGCAAGGACACCCCAGCAGCAACGCCCACACCCGCTGCCAGGTCCTCGTTTCTAAATCCCACTCTCCCATGAAACAAACCAGCGCTCCCCAGAGAACTGGGTGATTCTAGGGCTGAGGTGGGAACACAACAAGATGAAGGGAAGCTGGCGTGGCTGGCAGTGCAAGAAAGGAAGGAAGCGCTCACAAGGGGCGGGGGGTGGGAGGGATGGGCAACGACAAGGTCCTGGCGGCCAAGGCTGGAACGAGGTGGGCAGCCAAACCGACAGCGCGGAGCTGCGTCCCCACCAAAGTGCAGACGACACCCACGCGTCCATCCTCCTTACGGGAGTCCAGACCACACGGTGGGTCTTCCCCAGAGCTTCGCTCCCACCCCCGGGAGGGTGGGCTGCCCCTCTGAGTGGCTGCCAGAGAGACGGGAGGACAGGACAAGGAGTGACACTCCTTGGCAGATCCCCCCTGAGACAGGTGACCAGGCCGACAGCCCCCGTGATGTCGTGCGGACGTCAGGTGCCCTGATGTGATGTCACGAGAGCGCCACCTCACCTCTGGGGTCTTCTTTCCATAAACCACAACCCCTGTCTAACCAGAAGAAAACACAGCAGACAAAGCCCAAATCAGGGACACGCTACAAAACACCTGAGTGGTCCTCCCCAAAACTGTCAAGGTCACGAAAAAGTAGCCTCCCAGATGGGACCCCGGGCAGAACGAGGACCCTGGGGCAGCGCGTGACCTGCAGCCTGGAGCGCGGGGAACAGTAACAGAGCACCGTAGTGTCTCAGTTTCCACAAGTGTGCCTCGGTCTGCATCTTTCTGTTAACCTAAAACCACTCCAGAATAAAAACCTCACTTGAGAGGTGCTACGCAACCTAGGTCTTGAGGCTACGTGTTTGATCTGCCCCGGGCAGGGTGCAGGGGAGGCAACAGCAGCTGCAGGGGGCCCCACAGGGCCCACGGTGGCACCTCCAAGTGGGACGGCTCTGGGGGGGGTCCGACTGAGAAGGTGAACACGGGCTAGACGCTCCCCGATGACAAACCTGTTAGACACGGGACGTATAAGGAAGACACGTGACATGGGCGGATGCAGCCGCGCAGCTGCAACGGCCCCAGGAGCCCGGTTTTCTGCGTTTCCCGGTGATCTGCTCTCTGCACCTGAACCCCACTCCCACTCCCAGAGCAGCTGCGAGGGAGGCTCTGTCGCCACTCCTCCCCACTCCGGGGGTCCCCTCGGCCTGGTGCACGCGGCTGCCCTGCTGATCCCTGGAAGAAGCCACGTGCCCTGTGGCCCCGCTCACAGCTTCCTTCCCGGCTTCACGAGACAGTGAGGTCTGGGCGCCGGACGAGGTTTCGGTCACTTCAGCCGCTGACAACGATCAGTTCCTCAAACTGAAGAGGGCACATCCAGGGGGCCAGGCGGCCGGCTAGGCGCCTCAGGGGGCCGCTGCCCCGCCCCTGGTCCCCCACTTCACCAACGGGGATGCTGCCAGAGCTGGTCCCCCGGCCGCGTGACCCCTGTGTGCACGCACAGCCCCCCACGAGAGAGTCAGTCTCCTTTCTGGGACCAAGAGCCACCCATCGTGCGTCCTGGCACATGACCCTGGCGGCCACCGTATCGCCAGTACCGAGCCTGAGACCTGCCAGGCCGGCGCGGAGGCAGAGCCCCGGACCAGCCCATGGCCTGCGGGCGCCTAACCCACAATGCGTGCAGAGAGCAGACCCATCGGGCCCGCCTGGTGTCCCCGGGCCAAACCCCTCTCCCTCCCCACCACCTGCCCCATGGGCCCTGTCCGCCCATCACCTCAACCTGTCGTGGCTCCAGGCCAGCAGAACAGTACAGCCCCATCCGCACACGCTCACTGGAGCGCTGATGGCAGCGCGGAGCCGACGGCCGACCGTGCCCGGCAGCAGCTCCGTGCCCACGGGCCCTGCCTCTAACTGGCACTGCGACCAGTCCCACGGGCAGCAGGGTGCTGGCGCCTCTGCCCCACGCAGCCCTCCCCACACCCTCTGAGCCCCCGCCGGACACAGGGCGCAGCTCAAGGCTGCCGCCTCGCGGCTCCCACGCTGCCAACTTCCCAGGAGCTCGTGTTACAGCACCACCTCCACAGCACGTCACCGAGGGGGGCCTCGTCACCTCGGCGCCACGCAGAGCCAGGACTGGACCAACAGGGAGGCCGAGGCCAGCCCCCCACGCCCCCCCACAGGCCCCAGCAGCACCTACTTGGAGAAGATGGCCATCAGCTTCCTCCGGCTCCTCCGGGGCTCCGCGTCCTGTTCAAAGCCGTCCGTGTCCTTGCCCAGGAAGACCTCCTGGTGGAAATCCCTGTTGAGGTGCCCATCCATCTCTAGCTTCACCCCGTTCAGGTGGTCCGGAGGCAGGATCTCGTTTTCCTCCCTGCTACCCACTCTCTCCCGAGCGGACGTGTGGTTGGCGGGCCGGGCGGATGCGTCCATCAGAAGGACAGCCCCCAGGAGCCAGAGGCAGCGAGGGGCCAGGCCACAGAGGGGAGCCTGCCTGGAGGTCATGGCTGCCGGGGTCTGCGCTGCAGGATGGCCTGCGAGTATGGCCGGGAGCTGGGGAAGGGGGGTGGCAGGTGAGGAGGTGGTGATCACAGCCCGCCTACCACCCAGGGCAACGCGGGAGGCCCCACAGCCAGCACAGCTGCCTGCGGCCAGCAGCCTGAGGCTGCCCGGTCCCAGCCAGCACTTAATGGTCCACGAAGAGGGTGCAGAGCCATGAGATGATGGAGCCCCAGCAAACACTTCTCTAAAGAGACGTTTACTTTGTAACACGAAATAGAAGTCCTTGGTTTCCAGGACCTACGCTGGGCATCCTGTTTTCTCCTTCTTCCACTCCCCCCTCCAACTACGATGAGGTGGCCCTGCCTCAAGGTACGTCCTGCACCGCTAACCCTGCCCCTTCTCCAGGCCCACCGAGCTGCCCCCAGCACGGCTGTCCTTGGAGGCTGGCCCCAGAGTCACCGTAACTCACTCTCCAGATGCCGGCTCAGCGCTCACGAGCTCCGGGACCTTGACGAAGGCACCTGCCCGCCTCAGCTTCGGCCTCCCCGCCCCAAGGCTTTGTGAGGGCCTGCTGCCAGCGAAGCCCAAACCCACCGGGCAGGGCACCACCCCTCGCCCTCCCCACCTCCACGACCCTTGTGCACACACATGTACACACGTAAACGCAGCGTGTACACACACACACAGGCACACACACACAAGTGCACTCATGCACATACACGAATGCACACACATACACAGGCACGCATCCACACGTACGCCCACGTGTGCTCACACACACACAGACACAGGCATCCTTGCTCACGTTCACACACGAACACCGAGAAGGCCAGAGTACCCAGGAAGTCTGTGACCCTGGGCGTGCCCGGGCTTGGCGGTGAAGGAACAAGGCCACCCTCTGTCCACGTCAGGGACCCCAGGGCCACAGGCGCTCACACCCAGCACTCGGCCACCCGGCCTCTCCCACATCTGCTGCCCACCCCGGGCCGCCTGCCTTCCCGCCCCCACGGCTCCTCCTCCAGGCCCCCCCCCCCACTTCCCCACTGCGCTCCTCAGGACCTTCTTGCCCTTAACGTGTTCCTCTTGGAGCTTGTCCACCCAGCAAACGCCTGCCGGCCCTCCCAGGTGCCGCGGAGGCCCCCCTCCAGCAGGCCTGACAGGGAGCAGCGGAGGGAAGCCCCCCAGGCCAGGGTGGTGTCCAAGGTGAGGCACAAGGGGTTCGAACCACGGTACCCTCCATCAGGCCAAGCAGGCACCTGTGCTGGCTGGCAGCGCAGCCCAAGGCCAGGGCCACAGGCCCTCCCCGGCTGGCAGACGCCACCACTTGCTTCTCTGATGCCTCTTCTGTACCCTGCGCGCTCCTGACCAACGCCTCCCCTGGCACGGGGACACCTCAGTCGGTCTGACAAGGACAGGGTAAAGGGACAAAGCAGGTGACTAAACAGTTAATCCCACTAAGGGCTCATCCATGAAGGAGAACGTGTGGGAGACCCCTGTAAGTTAATGATCACTCTAGAAAGCAGGTTTGCTTAACCACAAAACCAAGCAGGCTTGCTTAGCAACAAACCACGCAACATAAGCACAAGACATGCCCCGGGACGATAAAATGGGGGAATGAGACCCACATCCTGCCCGCTAAGGTCAGTAAGTTAATGGTTCCTAAGACACGCTCCTCTGCGCAAGCTAAAAACAAAACTATAAGGACAAGGTGGCGCTACGCTGAAGCCTGAGATGATTTCCCATATTTTAGTATGTGTTACCGCCTTTCTGCTCATTTCCACTGCGCCATGACAGTCCCAGTTTGACCGCGTAGGGACAAGAAAACTCCCCCGCCCGACAAGGAGGAGGAACTGGTGATGGAAGGGTGACGTCTACTCAAGAATGAGGAAGAAGGTGGTCTTCTCCCCTGCCCACTTTCCTTCCGCTATAAAAATGTAGCTTAGTTCTCAGGGCAGAGCTCCCCGCCTGCCCGCTTGTATCTCTCACAGACGTCCTACAGTAATAAACTCTTTCCTTACCTGTCACTCTGCTGCTCAGTGAAGTTTTTCTGCGCCGAGACAGAAGACCCTTCGCTCTACTATCACCCGAGACGCGTTCCGTCGGTTTCAGGTCCTCTGGGCCCAGGCGCTATCTGGACCCCTGGACGGGATCCTGCTCTCCCAGCTCAGCTGGCTCATTCCTTGGAGGCGCAACTCTCACGGAAGGGCCGCCTTACGTCCCTCCTTCCGTGTCTGTGAGGGCCTGCACCCTCCCCACACCCACGAGAACCCACCAGCTGTGCTCTCTGCGTGGTCACCGTCCCCTGAACCACATTTACTGGAACTTCCACTTGTCCCTCTCTGAGGGCACCGCCCCAGCACCCATCACACTGTCCACACAGCAGGCCTTTCTGCTCTGCCACGATGCATATATTCCCCAAGCCCACAAGCAAACCAAGACAACTTCCTCCTGGCCTTAACGCCACTCTGCTGACTGGTGGCCATAAACACCGAAAAGACTGGACTTTTCTGGGAAGAGCAGTCAATCCCACATTCTGCTTGATAGGCAGTACAGGGAATGTTATTTACATGCTATTCTGCACAAAGAGTAACCCCCAAATAACCGTGTAGGCATCAGAAGATCGGGCACTTCCTCCCCTCCATTCACAACGTTTCTGTACCGTGGTGAGCACAGGAGTCAGCCGCTCACTTCCCGCCCCAGGGGAAGAGATTTCAGAGCAGGGTCAGCCCCGCTGACTGGGGGACCCATCCCGGACTCCTGGACAGCCCTGGTGCCCGCTCTGGTGAAACTAGGAAGAACAGCGTCGTTAAAACGCAAACACTTTTTCTAAACGCTCCGTCCTCGGCTTCAGGAGTCGCACACGGCGTTGGCAACGACTGCCCCGGGCCGAGCCGGGTGGCCCGGGCCTCACCCGGACTTCGGACCCTCCCCACCCCCCGAACGGCGGGGCCGCGGCCGCCGACCCGGCTCCACCGACCCCCGACTCCGGCATCCGAGGGGCCGGGCCGGCAGCAGATGCCGGCCGCCCGAGGCCCCGTCGGCCTGCGGCGCGCCGCCTTCCCGCCGCCCCGGGGCCAGGAAGGGGCTGTCACGTCCTGGGACCCTCACTCACCGGCCTCCCTCGCCGCACCCAGGATCCACCGAGCGCGACCCGAGCGCCTGCGACGCCTCCAACGGGCCACCTCTTAGGCCGCGGCCATCACTCTTCCGGGAAGAGGCGGGTCGCAGGGCGGTGCGACCTCCCCGCGCCGATGCCGGCGCCGCCATCTTTCCCCCGGGCGGAAGCGGCCTCACCGCCCTCCCGGGCGGCCAATGAGGAGCGTACGCGGGTCCACGTAGCCCGACGGCGCGGTCCGCGGCGCTCCCCGCGCCATGAAGCTGCTGCGGCGCGCGTGGCGGCACCGAACGGCGCTGGGCCTGAGCGCCCTGGCGCTGGGCGGCGCTGCGCTGCTCTACCTGGCGCGCTGCAGGGCGCCCGTCGACCCCGCCGCGCCCGCGCCCTTCGGCCCCGCGCGCGCCGCCGCTTTTCTGGCCGTACTGGTGGCTAGCGCGCCGCGGGCGGCCGAGCGGCGCAGCGTGGTCCGCAGCACATGGCTGGCGGCGCGGCGCGGCGGCCCCGGGGACGTGTGGGCGCGCTTCGCCGTGGGCACCGGCGGGTTGGGCGCCGACGAGCGGCGCGCCCTGGAGCGCGAACAGGCACGGCACGGCGACCTGCTGCTGCTGCCCGCGCTGCGTGATGCGTACGAGAACCTCACGGCCAAGGTGTTGGCCATGCTGGCCTGGCTGGACGAGCATGTGGCCTTCGAGTTCGTGCTCAAGGCAGACGACGACTCGTTCGCGCGTCTGGACGCGCTGCTGGCCGAGCTGCGCGCCCGCGACCCCGCGCGCCGCCGCCGCCTCTACTGGGGCTTCTTCTCGGGCCGCGGCCGCGTCCGGCCCGGGGGCCGCTGGCGCGAGGCCGCCTGGCAGCTCTGCGACTACTACCTGCCCTACGCGCTGGGCGGCGGGTACGTGCTCTCGGCCGACCTCGTGCGCTACCTGCGCCTCAGCCGCGAGTACCTGCGCGCCTGGCACAGCGAGGACGTGTCGTTGGGCGCTTGGCTGGCGCCGGTGGACGTGCAGCGCGAGCACGACCCGCGCTTCGACACCGAGTACAAGTCCCGCGGCTGCAACAACCAGTACCTGGTGACGCACAAGCAGAGCCTGGAGGACATGCTAGAGAAGCACCGGACGCTGGCACGCGAGGGCCGCCTGTGCAAGCGGGAGGTGCAGCTGCGCCTGTCTTACGTCTACGACTGGTCGGCGCCACCCTCGCAGTGCTGCCAGAGGAAGGAGGGCATCCCCTGACCGCCCCGAGCAGGGCTGGGACGCCCGGCTCCAGACCCTGCGCAGCCATTCTGCCGCTCGTGGTGGTGTGTGGAGGCTGGACCGAGTCACTGGGGGCCGCCCGCCGGCCTTCCACTGGTGAAGCTGACAGCTTCTGGCTGGTCGTTAGCATGAGGCCGGCCCTCGAGAGGACCCAGTTTACCTGGTGACCATGGGCCAGATGCCAGGCAGCAGTGGACACCTCCTAAGCCCCGGCTCTGCTAAGCACCCATACAGCCTACCCGAGGGCATCTTGTTCTGCGTCTGCGGCCAGCATCCTGTCAGACAGAAATGTCCCGTCCCTGGATTTTAGCGTTTTGCCTGGACGTGGGCGAGTCCGCAGGCAGCCCCGCGGGGCCTGAGCACACACTGTCCTCTCCCAGGCCGGCACCAAGGAGCCAGAGGATGGAGCTGACAGGCCTTGCAGGACATGACCCCAAAGAAAAATGCCCCACCCCCCAGGGCTGGGGACAATGTCGTGTCCTGCCTCCACTGTACTGACCATCCACCTGCACCTGCTGAGGGCTGTGGCCGCTGTCAGCTGGGCCCTGGCACTTGGAGACTCGCCATGTGATGCAACCCAACAGCTTTTATAGAAGTTACTGTTGCTTTATGCGGTTAGGTCACCTCTTGCGTCTCCTGCTGGTAACCCTTGTCACATGTACGTCTAGGGTTTAACTTCGTTTTATGTGAGTCAGCTTTCGTGGTATTTTGGTCTGTGTGTTTGTCTGGAGTGAATTCGTGGTACGTGTAATTCAGAGCTTGCCTGCTATTTATTTATAAATTTTGTGAATTTGCGAAGATAAGCGTTTGAGTTGAGAGTTGGGGGGGTCTCATATGTTTTGGTATTCAAGAGAGGATTTTTCTACGAGAACTTGGAATTTGTGGGTTAATCAGTTTTTCCAACTTGAGTTGTAGACGCATTGCTGCTTAAGAGTTGAGACATGGAAGAGCTCATCCACCTCTCTTCTGTTTACACGGAAGGCGACCCCACTGTCTCTCTCTAAAAACACTTTTCTTTAAGGCTTCCTCTCGGCCGCCCAGGGCAAGTGTTTCTGGAAGCATTGACGAGGTTTCCCAAAATCTGTCTTGAGACAGCCTTGCTATGGCATGTCCCCTTGGGGACAGCAGGAGTTCGTGGCACCCTTGCACGTCCCCAGAAGGTTGGGGCTTCCTCTTTTCCCCGTTAAATGTGAAAAGTGAGCACTGTGGTCATTGCAGAAGTCAAATAAAGTGGCTCCCGGGAAACGGGGAGCCCTTCTCAGGCTGGGGGTGTGAGAACTCTGCACTTTCTGTCTGGGTCCGGGCTGTGCTGCCACCTGCCTGCAGCCCAGGCTCTGGGGCACTAGGAACAGGAGGGCACAAGTCTCTGACTCACCTGTTTACTGCCATTCCCGAGCCCTCAGGCTGTGCATTTTAGGAGCGGTATCTTGGCCCAGGTGGCTTACACATCAGACGGCTCTCTCTTGTGGCTTCTGGAGGCTGGGGGCCTGTGATCGGGGTGCCGGCGTGGTCGGGTTCTGTCAAGGCCCTCGTTCTGGTGTGCAGAGGGCCACCTTCCTGCTGTGCTGTGGTGGGGGAGCCAGGGCGAGCTCTCTGCTGTCCCTTCCTAGCAGGGCATTAATCCCCTCATGGGCCCCCTGACCCTGATCCAGACGCCACTGCACCAGGGCATTGGGGCCTCCGTCTGATTTGGGGGGCACAGTCAGTCCGTAGTGACAGGTTTGGTTATTTTTGTCTAAAGGTAGAAGAATATCAAGAACTCTCAGGGGCTTCCCTGGTGGCGCAGTGGTTTAGAATCCGCCTGCCAATGCAGAGGACATGGGTTCGAGCCCTGGTCCGGGAAGATCTCACATGCCACGGAGCAGCTAAGTAAGCCCGTGCACCACAACTCCTGAGCCTGCGCTCTAGGGCCTGCGAGCCACAGCTACTGAGACGGCGTGCCACAGCTACTGAAGCCCGCATGCCTAGAGCCCGTGCTGTGCAGCAAGAGAAGCCACCGCAATGAGAAGCACGTGCACCACAACGAAGAGTAGCCCACACTCGCTGCAACTAGGAAAAAGCCTGTGCGCAGCAACGAAGACCCAAGGCGGCCATAAATAAATAAATAAATAAAAAGTCTGGGTCTCAGTCCATAAAGGAGGGGGTAGTCTTATGGTTGGTGACCTGACCACAATTCTCCTGCCTTGAGAAGGCAGAGGCTGGACAGCAGAGGCCCCAACCTCTGACCTGGCTCTGATTATGAGGTGTGGTGAGCCTTGCGCCAGGACTGACTGCGTGGCTGAAGGTTTGGGGACACCAGGGTGAGCTGGATGGGGCCCTGCCCTCCACTGGGTGAGTGCTGAGGGATGCTGACTATCTGGGATGATGGTCCTGGGATGTCTCGTCTGAACCCCGGGATTATCGGAGGAATTGGTGGGCACACATGTCCATTTCTCAGAACAGGATAAGGTGCCTAGAGTGATGGGAAGACCTGCGGAGGCTCACATGGCCAGGGCAGAGCCGCTGGACCCTCAGATCCCTCCCGGGCACCGACGTCCAAGCCCCCCTGGTAAAAACTCTAAAATTCCAGGCGCCTGTCTTGGGGGTGGGGCACCGTGAGCTTTAGCGTTTAGTTGAACCACGTGAAAATGCCAGTATGCAACCAGTTTTGACCCACAGACGTGGGAATCTCATACTGTTCAACCCAAAACACTAAATTCCAACACATTACACACAGCCTGGGCTGACGGTGCCCGTCCACACTGTGGTTGAGGAGATGTCAGACAGCATGTTGGAGCTGAAGGCCAGGATCCCTTCCTAGAGGGACCCACAGCCACCCCATCTGTGGTCCTGGAGCCCGTGCACGGGCCACACGTGGGCGTCACGGAGCCCAGCCTGCCACCGGCCTGGAGGAGTCTGCCCTCCAGCCTCTGCCTCTCTGCTCCTGCCCTGTCCGCTTCGGCAGGTTCTCCTGGCCGGGCGGGTGCCAAGCCTTCACCCTCCCTGCCGGCTGGCACCATCCCCTGCATGCGGACCGGCCACGGCGCCCCCTCCCAGGCAGCCCTCCTGGTCTGCACCTCCCATGAAGTCCACGCCATCTGGGCATGGGTGCCCTGTGGACCAGGGGCCGAGCCCAGGCTGTCCCGGGTTCAGGAGGCAACAGGTCCTTAGGAGATGGGAAGTCGGACCACCAAACTGGCTTTTCTGGGGGAATTTAGGGTACAGGACACCTCAAGTGGTGAACAGCCCATGGGGACCCAAAACTCAAAGTTTAAGTTAAAAATACGATACGATATCACTAATTAATAAAATAGAGAAACATGGGACCCAAGAACCTAGAGGACACGGTGCCTGCCAGGAAGGCCCAGGCACGGGGGGTGGTCTGTGGCACTGCACTGCTGGGGTCGCCACACGGCCACAGGTGGGCCCTCTCCAGACCTCCAAATCCTGGGTCCACCTGGTGTGGCTGAGTTAGCAGGACCAGTGACGCAGTGGAGGCCAGGGGTTCACCCAGGACACATGGCTGCCAGAAGAGACCCTAGGACAGAAAGGGGCTGAGGCTCCCCTCAAGTGAGCCCAGAGGTGCGCCTGCCCTTGGTGCTGGGGCTTCCCGGCCTCCGGACCCTACAGTGCAGGCTGGTGTGCAATTTGGAGCTGGGAAGAGATAGTGGCCCAGCTGTCCCCTTGTCCCTATGTGCTCAGCCAGCCCCTGACTCATCCCAGGGGGTGGTGGCGTCCTCCCTTCCCTGCCCACCCCCCAGTGTCGCTGTATATACCAGGTTTAGCCAGTAAGTTCTGGCCTCGGGAATGTCCTCCAGCCTCATGTGCACATGATAAAAATAGAAACATTCAGGGCTTCCCTAGTGGCGCAGTGGTTGAGGGTCCGCCT